CCTCAGATGTCAGAATGGGAATAGCATCTTCGGCCGTGCTCTGCGGAGTCCTAGCACAGTCAAGCAATATTTCATATGTTGACTGTTCGGATGCTCGAGATAACCCTGCATTATGTGTCTGTTCGTTGTAGGAGGCAGCGGAATCACGGCTCAGATCATGCTCTCTGTCGGTTCTTGCGCTTTCTGCCAGCTCCTGAATGGTATACAAGATCAAACCCCACGAAAAAGCTGCCGGATTCGCGGTGTTCAAACCGCCGCATGCAGTAAGAAAGATCTCGTTGATTTGAGAGAGTTTCTCTTTGCACAAGAAGTACGGCTGGGGCGATGATGGCGTGTGTGTCTCATTCTGAATGGAAGAGATGGCGAGTGATGGTTTTAAAAACGCTAACGTGGTAAGTGACACGAAAGCTTGAAGGGGTAACAAAACTTCTACAGGTTGCTGACAAGGCTAGAAGAAAACGTTAGCATTTCGATAGCTCGAAGTAGGCGACTGGTCACTTACCACTTGAATTGTCTCAAAGAAGCTATAATCAGCCATGAGCTGGAGCCAGGACAATAGGAGGTCTGCAGTTGGAAATTCCACCGAGGCTTGAAGCTGGTGGAACATGAGTTGTACGATATGGACAATCTCCTCCACGAGACTTGTTCTCCAGATGTTCTCCAGTTCCTCGCTGCTTTCTGCAGCACTGAGCCAGCCACCGTCTCCTTCCAAACTCGTCAACCGACTGCGTATCGAGGTGATGCATTCTTGAAGAAATCGGTCCAATCCATCACCTGTCGACTTGTCTTGGAAAATTGTGGTCCCTATTTTGCGCAAAGCAAGTTTGCGATCATGACTGTCGGGGGCGGTCGAGTCGGCTGAGATGCCATCGTGCAGAGACAGAGCAAGCAGCTTGCGGAGTGTCTTCACCACATGGCTTGTCTCGGAAAGATACACTTCGCGGAGTCGCAAACGTCGATTCTCCTCTTTTTCGAATGACTGAACACCATCGCTTCTAGCTGTTTGGTTCAATAGGCTGGCGAAGTTGGGACCGGCTAGAGAGCCTCGAAGATTCTCGGTCCCAGCCGCGCTCTGGAGACTGGTCGCTTCCTCGTTAGAAAATCCAAGTGTGAGGCGCGTTGCTGGACGGTTCTGCCATTCCAATACAGCGATGCGAAGAGCGGCGATTTCGTCGATTCCGGCTTGCTTGCTTAACCATAGCGCGTCGGCCTTGATCTCCTTCAGGTCAAAAGAGCTGTGGCCATTCGTCTCGACATGGATTGCGGCGGTTTTGGATTCGAATTCAGATTTTGATTTTGCGGAAGGGGATGGGAACGGTTTGAGGCCGTCGGAGAGTAGGCGAATAGATTCGGAGTGTGAAAAGAAGGCATCGATATTGCCTCCGTCGTCAGCACGACTTTCGGGGTCAATGGCGTAGAGAAAAGCTCTTCTCCAGGACCTGTATTATATTAGCATATTACCTTCCATGAAGACAACTGATTAGAGTGAACATACAAGAGTTGAACGTCCCCGGAGAAGCATTTGTCCAGGGACGGGAAATAGGCCCTCGGAACGGGAGCCATGTTGGGCAATTAGATCATCATAGGATAAAAAGGAAGAGCGGAAGGAGGCGACACCAGGGAGGTGACGGGAGAACAAAGAAAAGGTAGATGGCGAGCGTGGGGAGCTCTTGAATTGAGAGGGAGCTTCAAAAGAATATTATTCACCGCGACTGGGTCAACAATCAGGTGCCCTATCTGATCTTATTGCCGGGCGGTGAGTGGAAACTTGTAAACTCGACATTCTGTTGACTCACCTCCGTCCAAACCGAGTAATTCGCAAACATTTGATTTGGTTTAAAGTGTGCGAGATCCAGAAGCTTACAGCAGACCGATTATCATATTATCTCAATCCCCCCGATATCCTACGACAATCCGCGGTCATGGCGGACCTTGTTGACCACTCCCCCCACCATGCCACGAAAGCGGCCAAATTGGCCAGCGCATCCAACGTGATTTTGATCGATAATTACGACTCATTTACCTGGAATGTCTACCAGTACCTTGTACTTGAAGGTGCTACCGTCACAGTCTACCGCAATGACGAAGTCACTGTTGAGGATTTGGTTGCAAAGAAGCCTACTCAACTGGTTATCAGTCCTGGCCCCGGCCACCCCGAGACTGACGCAGGAATCAGTAACGCCGCAATCCAACATTTCAGCGGAAAGATTCCGATATTTGGTGTGTGCATGGGCCAGCAATGTATGATCACCTCGTTTGGTGGTAAGGTGGATGTGACTGGCGAAATTCTGCACGGAAAGACATCAGAGTTGAAGCATGACTCCAAGGGTGTATACCAGGGATTGCCAGCCTCGCTCGAGGTCACCCGATACCACTCGCTCGCCGGAACACACTCGACTATCCCAGATTGCTTGGAAGTGACCTCCCGGGTCGAGCTGGGGGATGGCAGTGGGAAGAACATCATTATGGGTGTTAGACACAAGGAATTCGCAGTTGAGGGTGTTCAGTTCCACCCTGAGAGTATTTTGACCCAATACGGGCGTAAGATGTTCAGAAATTTCTTGGAACTCACCTCTGGGACCTGGGATAACAAGCAGGGAGCAGCAGCAGCCTCTGCACCGGCAAAGAAACTATCCATTTTGGACAAGATCTACGCCCATCGCAAAAATGCTGTTGACGAGCAGAAGAAGATTCCGGCTCTGCGACCAGAGGCTCTTCAAGCCGCATATGATCTGAACATTGCGCCTCCTCAATTGTCCTTCCCTGAGCGTCTGAGACAGTCAGACTACCCTCTCTCACTCATGGCCGAAATCAAGCGTGCGTCACCCTCCAAGGGCATCATCTCGGCCGACGTTTGTGCCCCTGCTCAAGCACGGGAGTACGCCAAAGCTGGCGCTAGCGTCATTTCTGTCCTTACAGAGCCGGAGTGGTTCAAGGGCACCATAGATGACCTGCGGGCTGTTCGTCAGAGCCTGGAAGGACTCACTAACCGACCCGCTGTCCTCCGAAAGGAGTTTGTCTTCGACGAGTATCAGATCCTGGAGGCCCGTTTGGCTGGAGCTGATACAGTTCTACTGATTGTGAAGATGCTGGACATTGAGTTATTGACTAGACTGTACCATTACTCGCGCAGTCTCGGCATGGAGCCTCTGGTCGAAGTCAACACCCCCGAAGAGATGAAGATTGCAGTTGACCTGGGTTCTGAAGTCATCGGTGTCAACAACCGAGACCTGACGAGCTTCGAGGTCGACCTCGGAACTACCAGTCGCCTAATGGATCAAGTCCCTGAGAGCACAATTGTGTGTGCCCTGAGCGGAATCTTGGGGCCCCAAGATGTGGAGGCTTATAAGAAGGAAGGTGTTAAGGCCATTCTTGTTGGAGAAGCTCTTATGAGGGCACCTGATACCTCTGCCTTTGTGGCACAGCTTCTCGGCGGTTCTAATCGAAACTCTGCTGGCGCATCACCAAGTGCTCCATTGGTGAAGATCTGTGGAACTCGGACCGAAGAAGGAGCTCTGGCTGCTATTCAAGCTGGCGCGGATTTGATTGGCATAATCATGGTTCAGGGACGCTCACGACTTGTCCCAGATGATGTGGCCCTCGGAATTTCCCGGGTGGTTAAGTCGACCCCTCGTCCGGCTGGTACATCGCAACAGTCGACAAATGCTACATCATTGGAATGGTTCGATCACTCTACTAATATCTTGCGTCACCCTTCTCGTGCTTTGCTCGTGGGCGTGTTCATGAACCAGCCGCTATCATATGTCATTTCTCAACAACAAAAGCTGGGTCTCGATGTTGTGCAACTGCATGGATCCGAGCCATTGGAGTGGTCTAGTTTGATTCCAGTTCCTGTCATTCGCAAATTTGCCCCTGGTGATATTGGCATTGCTCGCAGGGCATACCACACTCTTCCATTGCTGGACTCTGGGGCCGGAGGCTCTGGCGAGCTTCTGGAGGAGAGCGGTGTCAAAAAGGTCCTCGATAGCGACGAGGGATTGAGGGTAATCCTGGCTGGGGGATTAAACCCGGACAATGTGGTCGACACGGTGAAGAAACTGGGCGAGTTGGGCCAAAAAGTCGTCGCAGTGGATGTTAGCTCAGGTGTAGAAACAAACGGTGCTCAGGATTTGGAGAAAATTCGAGCCTTTGTGAAGTCTGCTAAAAGTATCCGGCAATGAACAGGCTAGGGACGTGCATTTACACTACTCAGGATGACTTCTTTTCTCATTCTATCTCGGGGTTTTATATTCGATATTCATAGAGAATATCCATAGCAATCAATATTATTCGGGGTTTCTTCTATATTTACATTACTTTCACTTGTTCGGTAAAGGCTTTGCTTGATATACTAAGGCATGAGTTTTGATCCTCTCTTGAAGTAGATCTCAATCTTAAATTGCTTTCGAAATCTCATTATTTGCTACTTTCTCATCACTTTCGCCCTCTAGAAATCATCATACTCGGTGCATTCCATATCAACGTTGCAAAAGCAGATTAAGTTGGCAGCTCTAAGCAGTATATCACAGTATTGCCTCAAAGTGCTGTCCCCTATCAATGGATGCATTTCATTTCCGACGCTCTTCTGTCCATTTCTGAAATTCTGAAAGAGATCTCAATCGGCAGCAGAGGTCAAATGAGCCTCGGCGTCATCGAACTAATCCCCTCATTTATTATCTGAAAGACTTGTCTTCCAGCAACACACACACATACACACACACACACACACACACACACACACACACACACACACACACACACACACACACACACACACACACACACACACACACACTCATTTCTGAAATATTGCGGCAGCCAGAAAAGCCTCGCAACTTCTGGCCGCAAAACTAATCCTCGCAGTATCCCAGTCTTCCTTTCTGGCAGTATCACACGTTTTATCACTCAAGCTATTCTTGGGGCATTCCCGCTGCCAGTGGAAACAAAACGAAACACTTAGACTCATCTACTCAATTCTCATACAGCAGCGTGAATTCAAGATGGGGAAACCGTTCCAAAAAGTTCATGCCTCTATAGTAGGCAAGTTCGAAGACGGTGTCGGTGAAAAGATCCCACAGTGGATTCGGGCAAATGGAGGGCAGTTCTCGAGAGACGTGAACCCCCGAATCACCCATCTCATTGCTACAAAGGAGGCCTTCAAAAGCAATGCAGTTCCAGGTATTTAACATTGAATACTCCAAAGGCCTCGAAACTAATTAGCACAATACAGTGCAAAATGCTACGAAGCTCAGCACCGTCAAGATCGTCTCATACGATTGGCTTGAAGACTCGCTGCTATCAAACACCCGCCGCCCAAAACCCGAGGGACCATATCTTCTGAAGAACCTTATGAAGCCCGAGAAAAAGGAAGTCCAGAAGAAAAAAGTAACACCGAAGTCCTCAAAAGTGGCCAAGGAGATCAAAGGAAATATTCCAAAGCGTCGGACAGGTATCAGTTTTTTGGAGCTCCATTTTATTGCCACAATGCAGACTGTACTGACCTGTCCTCTACAGTTGATCCTTTCCTCGCTACAAAGGGCAAAAGAAAGCGTAAGCATGATCCTCATATCAAATGGCATATCCGGGTCTAATACTTACCCATCACAGCCGTGCGTCAGGTGTACCAAGACCGAAAGACAAATGTGGTTTACAGTACCACCTTGTTCCGCCAATCGAAACCAACGGTCATCAGCAGAGAAAAGTACCAATTGACAGTAAGCGATATTGAAGTATTCTGTGGATTTCCTTTTATTTTCGAAAAATAATGTTGACACTGTCTAGCTCTTCGAATCCATCGCCAAACCACACACCTACTCGACATACGCCAAATTCAGCCGCGTTGGGACGTCCAATGTCGAACTTCTAGCGGGACCAAGGTGCAAACTTGAGGTTGCCGTGGAAAAGTTCAAGCAGTTCTTCAAGGAACAGACTGGCAAGGAATGGGATAACAGGGCAAAAGGGAAGATGCCACCCCCAAAGAGAGATGTGGACGGAAACAGCTTGCCTGTTCACGAGGGTTGGTTCTATCTTGAGGAAAAGACGTCTATTCTTGGTGCCTTCCTGAGGGAACCCCAAAGCACCGGTTGTGGGGAATCGACTGGCCGCATCACCTCCGATGGTACCGAGGAGCATGGTGTCGAAGATGGTGTCAAGGACGGTATGGAGAACAAGATAGCAGATCACCAAGTTAAAGGTGCGAGCGAAGATGGGGGCGAAGCTGATGATGGTGAGGAGGAGGAGGACAAAGAGGAGGAAATGGAGGAAATTGATAAGTAGATAGTAAGTACCCAAGGATGGTAGGAATCCCTGTAGGTGGCTAACACCTACACTCACGAGCGGATTCCCCAATGGATGTGGATGGATCAATTTTATCGCAGATTTTATGCTGAATGCAAATTCGAAGATGTTAGGATATCCCGTACGCGCTTTGCTCTCAGGCTTATAAAAATACATCCTAATATAATAAAGCTTTAGTGGCATTGTACAAAAATGCGAGGAAGTAAACGAGTACTCCAGCATACTATACTACTAATATACTAGTTCCTCCCGGTGTCGAGATCGATATCAATTAGCCATTCCTTGTTTTACTAATCTACGGCTCTAAATAGCCCCCTTAGAAATATGGTCAAAATTACATTATCCTTAAGTTGTAGTGAATTATAGGGCGGCTCTTCGCCTGTGGTGGGTCCGGGATGATCGTGTGGATCCTTCTAGGGCTAATCATATGCAGTGTGACCCGCATGTCCCCACTTTTTGGAAACTATTAGCCCACTTCCATCATCTTGAATAGTTGAAGCCTGTGTTCTCTTTGCCGTAACCACGACAGTAATTCCATTGTTAGGTCACATAAATTAGCTGACATATTGCTCGTAGACCGGAATTGTTTGACACCAGCATGTCAACACGGAGGGCTTTACCAAACTTAATGAGAGTCGCGATATAGGCTCAGCGATGTCCTTATCTTCCTCCTTGATGGAAAACGGTTGGAATGAATACTTCGGGGATATAACGGTGCCCAAATCTGCAAAAAGAATTGGGAGGAGATTTGGTTTTGACTAATCTACCGGCCACATATTATATCCACTTAGGTTATACTAACGATATGTACCTAGTCACGTGGATGGGGGATTTATATAAAGTTAAGGTTGTTTCGGGCAATAACTCGAGTAGTGCAGTACCTAGTTAAGAGCAATGTCAAACTTGCAAGGTTGCTCTTAACGAGCCACAGGCCCGAGTTTGATTACCCTTGGAATTAAAGTTCGTGGTCGGATGGTCATCTGGGTCATGTACCGCTGGGAATCCCTCTTCTTTTTGCCTTTTTTTTTTTCTTTTTTCATTCTTTTCCCCTACTATGTTAAAATATAATACTGGAAAGAGGAAAGTTTAAGTATAGATACAGATATCTAGGCTTTAGGCCATTTACACAAGTCACTATGTTGTAGTATAGTGGTGCCAGGGAATGTATAAAGTTAAGGTTATCTCAGGTATTGTGCCCAGGTGCGTTTTCATATACTATAACATGATACCTAGGTAAGTATAGAGTAGTAGCCAATTTCCCTGCCAGAAAATCGGGGCATGATGGCCCCAAAAGCTGCTGTACATGTCTTTAATATTTTGATTAGACATTCTCCGCTGCCATTTAAATCACAAACTAACTTGAACATGACAAAAGAACCCGTTCTAATTGCCCTCTAACGCCAGATACGCCAGTCGGCCAATGTGACGAGATGAGGTTCTGCCCTAACCATCCACGCCACAGCCAATGTAGTGATGCGAGCTCGTAAAGAATCACAGGTATTCCTTCTTTTTGCTGGTTCTCGTGTATTGGGTAAGAGCCCATTCGATATCGCCGCTCGAGCCCTTCTCCAATGTACCTCCGCGGATCTCGAAAAGTCGCATCGTCATGCGAGGTCCAACTTCAGCCAGCTCCACATCCCGGTATCCAGTCTTGACGAAAACGTGGTGGCGCACTTCAATGTTGTCGTCCTTGTTCACAAAGCTCACAACACGGTTGCCGACCTTTCCAGTCTCACGAGGGGGGAAAAGGTGCTTCAGAATCTGAACAACCCGGGCACCCAGCTTCGTCTTGAAGCCCTCAAAGACCAAGTGGGGGTAGCTTTCCGATACGGTACCGCGAGCGGCATTTGGAATATCCTGGCGAAGGACAACATTGTGAAGAGAGAAGCTGGCGGTTGGGCCATGGGGAAGGTGTGAAATAGTGAGTGCGGTCGGGGTACCACGGTGCTCGTGGAGGAGAATCATGTCGGTCAGAGCCGCGGAGGTTGCGCTAGAGACGAGATCTCCAAGAACGAGAGTTCCACGGTTGAGGCGAATGGAGGTGGGAAGGAGAAGGCGGATTTCTTTCGCAAATGCGCCAAGGCGAGCGGAGGGGGAGCGAGAGGTGGTAACCAAAGGACGGGGGTCGATAATGCCGGAGGTTAAAACGTATTCATCGTCGATGTCCATCTCAGCGTCTTCCTTGTCCTTTGATTCGTCATATTTGAAGTCTTCCCGAAGCGTTTTATCATTTGCGATTGTAGGATCTAGAGGCTTTCCAGAAGCCAATGAAGCCTTCAGTTGCGATCTTTTTTCGGCAATGGAGGCATCACGGAGTAGCAAAGCTCTCCGATAGAGATAATCGCGACGCTCGCGAGTTTGGCGGCGCTACTGATTGTAAGTAAAATATCAACTGTTTCAAATTTATCCTTCACTTACCAGCATTTTGAAGATTGAAGTAAAAGTGGCTTGAGTAGAGATTGAGCGGGCAACTTTTTTTTTCTCTTAACTCCGGGGCTGCGTTTTTGGTTCGTCTGATTAGCCGTAGTGGGATCGCACCGATAAAGAATCTGGGCAGTTGCGGAGAACGCTTTTTGCCCATCCTTCGAGACAAACTCATCGACTCTCTTTTGTCAGTCCTCTGACACAGAGAGCTGGACTGGTTGTATGTGCTAATCTGTTCCTGTCAAGAATGTACCGCTAATCCCACATCTCGATATAGATCTCCGTTCGTTTGCCCCTCAGGCACACCCTGGAGATTTCAACACTTGAATACCCCCATAGGACGACCGGATTGTCCTCTACGCTCTTTAAATCGTTTATGACTGCAAAGTTCATTTCTGATTTCAACTATTTTTTTTGCTTTGCCCTTTGCTTTGAATCTTGATCAGCTCCAGTCATCCCTATCAACGTTCAACATCGGTACCCATAATGAGCTACCAACCGGAAGACCCCTCAGCGGGCGTTGAAATTAATGATATTGCACTCGGCCGCGCGCGTCCACGCCGACATGATGACGAAGATGAGGGCTCTGATACCTTTGAAGATGATGACATGGAAAGCATAGTCGGTGCACCCACAAACGGGCACCAGAAGTCCCAAGGAAATGGAGAGGAGGAAATAGAGCTCCCTGCTCATGCATGCGCGTCAGTCTAGATATTTCCTTTTGTGGATGGACATTCACTGACTATATTATAGGTACTGCGGTATTCACAACCCGAGCAGCGTCGTCAAGTGTCTCTCGTGCAATAAATGGTTCTGCAGTGCACGTGGCAATACCTCTTCCTCGCATATCGTCAATCACCTTGTCCGCGCTCGTCATAAGGAAGTCCAGCTCCACCCCGGCTCGTCTTTGGGTGACACTATTCTGGAATGCTACAACTGTGGCACCAAGAATGTCTTTTTGCTTGGCTTCATCCCCGCAAAATCCGATACCGTTGTCGTCTTGCTTTGTCGGCAGCCATGTGCCTCTATGCCTTCCTCCAAGGACATGAATTGGGACACCTCGCGCTGGCAGCCTCTCATTGAGGATCGTTCTTTCCTCCCCTGGCTGGTGGGAGCACCTACTGACCAGGAACAACTCCGAGCCCGTCACCTCAGTCCTCAATTGATTGCGAAATTGGAGGAAATGTGGAAAGACAACTCTCAGGCAACCTTGGAAGACCTAGAGAAGGCCACGGCAGTGGATGATGAGCCCGCGCCAGTCCTGCTTCGCTATGACGATGCTTTCCAATATCAGAACATTTTCGGCCCACTTGTCAAGATTGAGGCTGATTACGACCGCAAGTTGAAGGAATCTCAATCCCAGGATGGACTCATCGTGCGCTGGGATCTTGGTCTCAACAACAAGCACCTCGCAAGCTTTGTGCTGCCCAAGCTTGAGCTGGGAGATGTCAAATTGGCCGTGGGTGATGAAATGCGCATCAAGTACAATGGTGAATTACGTCCCAAGTGGGAGGGTGTGGGCTATGTCATCAAAATCCCGAACAATCAATCTGACGAGGTCACTATCGAGCTACGCGCCAAGGGCGACCACAAGTCAGTTCCCACTGAATGCACACACAATTTTATGGCCGACTATGTTTGGAAATCAACTTCCTTCGACCGCATGCAATGTGCCATGAAGACATTTGCAGTGGATGAGCAGAGTGTCTCAGGCTACATCTTCCATCGCCTTCTTGGTCATGAGGTTGCTGCAGCTCCTATGAAGACCCAGATCCCGAAAAATTCAGTGTTCCGGGTCTGCCAGATCTGAATGGCAGTCAAATCAACGCGGTCAAAAGTGTGCTCCAACGACCTCTCAGTTTGATCCAAGGTCCTCCCGGAACTGGTAAGACCGTTACCTCGGCCACCATCATCTACCATCTTGCCAAGATCAATGGAGGCCAGGTTCTTGTCTGCGCTCCGTCCAACGTTGCCGTTGACCAGCTCTGCGAGCGTATCCATCGAACGGGTCTCAAGACCGTGCGAGTTACTGCTAAATCTCGCGAGGACGTGGAATCTGCTGTTGGTTTCCTTTCGCTGCACGAGCAGGTTCGTATGAACGACAGCAACATTGAGTTAGTAAAACTCAACCAGCTGAAGGCTGAACTCGGGGAATTGTCCAGCCAAGATGAAAAGCGCCTCAAGCAACTTACTCGCTCCGCTGAACGTGAAATCTTGACCAACGCGGATGTAATCTGCTGTACATGTGTTGGTGCAGGTGATCCTCGCCTTTCAAAGGGCAAGTTCCGCACTGTCCTAATTGACGAATCGACCCAATCTGCTGAGCCCGAGTGTATGATCCCCCTGGTTCTGGGCTGCAAGCAAGTTGTACTGGTCGGTGATCACCAGCAACTTGGCCCCGTGATCATGAACAAGAAGGCCGCGAAGGCCGGTTTGAACCAGTCTCTGTTCGAGCGTCTCGTCATCTTGGGCTGCTCTCCTATTCGCTTGAATGTCCAGTATCGCATGCACCCGTGCCTTTCGGAATTCCCGTCCAATATGTTCTACGAAGGCTCGCTGCAGAATGGTATCACCATTGCTGATCGTGTCCGTCGCGATGTTGACTTCCCTTGGCCTATCATTGATGATCCCATGATGTTTTGGTCAAACTTGGGCAATGAAGAAATCTCGGCGTCAGGCACCTCATATCTTAACCGTACTGAAGCGACCAACGTTGAGAAGATCGTCACGCGCTTCTTCAAGGCAGGTGTTCAGCCTAAGGATATCGGTATCATCACTCCATACGAGGGACAGCGGAGCTACATTGTGAGCTCTATGCAGGCAAACGGCACCTTCAAGAAGGAACATTACAAGGAGATTGAGGTTGCGTCAGTCGATGCATTCCAAGGCAGAGAGAAGGATTATATTATCCTTTCTTGTGTTCGTTCCAATGATCACCAAGGCATTGGTTTCCTGAGCGATCCTCGTCGTCTCAACGTGGCCCTTACTCGTGCTCGATTTGGTCTGGTCATCCTAGGAAACCCCAAGGTCTTGTCTAAGCACCCATTGTGGAACTGCCTTTTGCAACACTTCAAGGAACGTCACTGTCTCGTTGAGGGGCCCTTGTCTAACCTTCAGGAGTCCTTGATTCAGTTCAGCCGGCCCAAGCAAGCATACAGAGGCCCACAGCGCTTCCAGATGTCTTTCAGCCAGACAAATAATGCTCCCAACAATGCAGTGAATGGTCGCAACGGCGGTCACCGGAACGAGTATCATGACTCTGGGTCTGTAGTAGGCTACATCCCCGATGATGTGTCTTCTGTCCACGGCTCCGCACTTGGTGGTGTTGGCCTTCCGTCTGGCTACCCCCCTATGTTCCAGAACTTCGGCGAGTCCTGGCCTGCGATTTCTGGCGGTCGTCGAGCAAATGGTGGCCGACCCAAGGGAGCACCCAGTGTGGCTGGCGAGTCAGTCGCTGCTACTGAGTCTGATGTCACCTGCAGCGTCACTGACGGACGCAGCGTTGATCAGGGCGGTGTCAGCCTCACAGGTCTGAGCATCAATGATATGAGCAAGCAGCCTAGTCTTAGCCAATCTGACCGATTGAAGCGCTACGTCGAGTCTGGCGGACGCGAGCCTTACAGGGCCGGCGTTCCGGACAATGGCAGCATCTTCGGAGGCAGCTCTGCTAGCATTCGCGTGACTCGCGGCGCGCCAGGCCAGAACCCTCACGACGACGATGATGCCCGTAGCGTCTCTACTGCTTTCGCTAGCCAAGTTGGTGGCAACTATGACTGAGTGACTTTGTGTCCAACATTTCCCAGGGCAACCTCCAACAGGTTCGCCCGTCTTACCACTCGGCGAAGTAATGTCCGTGCATACTATCAGGGTTCTTTCCAACAGAGTCTGCCCGCCCGTTTCTTTTAAGCCGACCAGGACTTTGAATCGGCAAACCCAAGACTTTTCGGATGCTTATCCCCGGGTCCTTTTGACCTGCTACCAAAGCACCGTTCTGTCCATCGAAGGATTGTTCCCTGGGTCTGATCCCTCGCCATTGTCACCGTGACATTTTTACGATGTGTGACTCTCGGGGATGAGGCGGCAGATAATGATCCTCCAGTATCTTCCAGTTGAAGGAATCACTGAAATCTCACCCGTCGGTTGCCGATGCCCAGTTCCGATAGCCCCTGTAGCAATTACTGGGCAGCTCTGCGAATTTACCCCTACCCCTTGGCCATGTTTCATGCTTGCTATCTTTATCTCTTAGGTAGTCAGGTATTAGCTCAAAAAAAAACAATGGCAATTTATGATCCCACAGCCTTTCCAACATCCGTAAGCAGGCAATATGACTAGAACCTAAAAACTCAGCCTACCTTCCTGGGTTGGAATCTTGGCTGGCTTACGTTCCGAGTTAGGGCTAAGGCCGTTGCTCTGCTTCAGCTTCTACACATCAGCCCCATCAGCCGCTCGCCCTTATCAGCCTTGCCGTCGTACTAACTCGGGTGCATTATTTCAATTATGTTGCCCCTGGGGGCACCCCAGGTAGATACTTAACCCCGATTCCTTTACGTATAATCTGGCTATCATTTCCAAGGTTTAACACTTGTTTCATATTACTCATTTCTTTTGTGGCAACACTCTGTAGTGAATTAACAGTCTATAGTGGAATTAAGCACAATGGCTATCTTCCATAGGTGTGAGCATACTAGGTACATTTAAAATCAGTGACAGGATTTCCCATATTTTCGAAGACGTAGATAGTTGTACGGCAACGGCGCCAGATAGCCAGCACCCATCGATAACACTGCTGCCATCCAGAACTTTGGATCTCCAAAAGCAACTATTCCACCCGTCAGATGATAGTCAACTGCATTCTCCGCTAGTTCCATGGCTAACATCGAAACCATACTCATACCCATAGCGGTACGAGCAGCCATCGGCCAGGAGAGCTGGTCAGCGCCCCGGCGGAGCAGGATTGTCTCGAGGATAACAGAAGTTGTGATGCCGGATGCCACTAGATGATTGTCCTTAGTACGCCTGATACAATTTGATTCGCTCAATAAGGGAACCCACTCGACAAGGCCATTATGCTACTCATGCCCATCTCAGGGTAGTAAGTCTGCAGAATCCATAATGCAGAGAAATCGCCGGCTGTACATCCCACTAAACAGCGAAGAGTGTTGATTCCTGCTCGTTTCCAGGTGGATCTGCAGGCCCAGAATGGAAGACTAAGCGCCGGAAGGGTTTGGGTTGGCGGCTTTTTGGTACATTTTGGAGTTTGAGATAATTGGTGTTCGCGCTGGACACTCTTTGTGCACTGGTTTTTCTCTGTATGGCAGGCTTGTGCACGAGTGGTGCCACTAAAAGCGCGTCTTGAAACCCAGCAAATGCCTCGGCCCCGTTGAAGTAAAAATGGGTGGCGCATTTGACTCATATCCCAGGTTGTTGGAATCTTATGACAACTCACACGAATGGTAACATTAACAATTTTGAATATGAAAATTCAAAGGGACAGGGTCAAGGGGTCAGGTAGTCAGGTTGGTAGGGATGGTGGAGCATGGTCCCCGAGCCTGTAGCAGAAATGCCGCAATGAAATAGTGCCAGATTTACAATTTACGCACCAAAACACATATCGAAAAATATACCAGTTAATAATATTCCTTGGTAGTTTCACGGTATCTCAATATGTAAGAGGAAATAACTGGCGAAGTGAGGAAGATAATATATGGGGTAAGTATTCGAGTCGAATGCTGTGCACCGGATATATCTTCGGACTATGCGGTGGGGCTACGGGGGCCGTGGGAACATTTCACCTTGACAACACCATGAAATCATTCCCAAAATTTGACATGAATGTGGGTATCATGCGATCAATTATGTCTGTGCTCGTTGGTCCACGTCGAATGGTGGCTTGGTTTTACTGGTTTGGGCAATGTCTCTCGGGTGTATAGATCTAGAGCCTAGTATAATCTATAGCTTGGCCGAATAACATAAAGTCAAACTGGGTAGCAAATCACTCAAAATAGATGAACATGTATTGAGGCTCAGTTAGGATCAAAGGCTGTTCTATTATGATAGAGGCAGTGCTAATTAATTATGTAGCCTTTATAATTCATCCTCTTGGGGGTTTTCCTGCTTGTATGGAACACCAATGCGATGTTATTTTGTGGCCTTAATCATGTTATATACCATAGTACTGTAGAGGAATTCTAGTTTTGTCATCCATCATTCGTTGTAAAGACGGTATGAAAGGTGATATCCACAGTATGACAAAATGTCCTAGTACTGTATATTTGTAGGTTAACTTGTAGGCTTCAAGATTCTCAGTAGACTGATCTGCAAGCATATCCACGCAAGCCAAGTTGTCTCTGTGCTACTTCGTTTCGAACCCTATAGAGCGTTTGATATCCTCATTCTAAGCGAGCTTGCATAGCCTGGTTGAGGTTGGGAAAGCCTCCTGCTAGAAGAATTCTCACAGTATTCCTTTAAATAGAATCAATTGATTGCGTGGACACGAAGATCTTGGTATCTAAAGCTTGTCAAGCATAACGAATTTGTTGCAGCCTAATATCGGGCCTGGCGAACGTACATTGCAGAAAAGGCACTGCCCGGGTGCCCGATCTTTGATGCTTAAATAAGCATATTGATCATGCACGTGATTGACGATCGGGTTGATCACCATCACGTGCACTCACCGCCACTGGATTTGTCAGGTCTGTGGCGACCAAATATTCCGGCAATCCACGGGACGGCTGCCTGACAGGCAATCTTGCTTTGATACCTAAATCGGATCCGCCGAGATGGGACAACAGGATTGGTACCATACTACCTGTGGACGGAGTAGTATACAGTCATACCCACGGTGTCCCTCTAGTGTATGAGTCACTTGTGCTTCCTTGGCCCCTCATCTCGATATCCCAGATCGGGCATTAATAAACAGTATTGCCCATGTTTTGACCTGCATGTATATAAGCTCTAGCCAGTTATGAACTCATATGACAATCCAACTGTTCAGAAACCCCACTAGAAAACGAAGGAAGCAAGATTCTGCAGGGACATTTCGAAAAAATAAGGATCACTGCGCCACTGTGGCGCATCTGCACCTGACGCAAGCGGTATAAATAGGCTGCGGATGCCTTGCTACCTGAAAATTTTGGCAACTCCTCATCCTCTCCAGACTTCATACCCATCGACATCTACTACGCTTTCACCGCCAATTTATTTCATTTTTTTCATAAACAACCCTATTCTTGTTGTTTCCCTCTACTCAGCTACCAACTGCTTTTAAATTTACCGTTGTTGTGCATTGACGACGCGTCTTTCCGGTATCTACTACATTCTATCACGATCCCCTCAGTAGTGTGGGGTATCAACTTCGCGATATGGGTGACGGGTCTGACTATCCTAGCCCACGAAGTGAAGGTCCTAACGGTGTTCTCGCTGCCTCTATCCTTGCCTCTGCATCTGAATCCACACCCCCAATTGCGAGAATGAACGATCCTCAGCAGCCCATGAGTTACAACCTTGATGGGGCGCGCCCGCGCCTTTCTGTTCGACGCGCCCGCGATCCTCCTAAGAACTCCGAAGGTCAAATCTTCTGCGATCATCCTGAGTGTCAAGCTGCACCTCCTACTTTCCGCCGTCCATGTGAATGGAAGTAAGTACAATGCCCTATTGTTGTCTCTTTAACGCGCCTAGTACTAACATAACTTAGCAAACATATGGATAAACATGATCGTCCCTACAAGTGTTATGAACCAAACTGCGACAAGATCCAAGGTTTCACCTACTCTGGTGGTCTCCTTCGTCACCAGCGCGAAGTTCACAAGAAAAACACCGACACTAAGAAGGCCCTGATGTGCCCATACACTGATTGCAACCGCAGCACTGGCAACGGATTTACGCGCCAAGAAAATCTGCGCGAACATCTTCGCCGTCGCCACATGCACAATGACGAAGCTCCCCCCATGGTTGACATGTCTTGGGACCGCGCCACCGAACTTGATGGTGTCGAGGGCGTCCGTGCCCCCTCTCTCCCTATCACTGGAATGAAGCGCCGCCACGACTCTCCTCCTGTCGGAGATCTCCGAGATATGCCTGAGACTGATGAGCACGGGATCGATTTGCACAACGAAGTTAAGAGACTCCGCCGCGAAGTCCAAGAGAAGGATCGTCGTCTTGAAGAGTTGGAGCGAATCGTTGCCAACATTCAGCAGGCTATCCCTCAGCAGTCTCCTCCCGGACCCGAACTGCAGGATCTTTCACAGCCCGCTCCCCAGCCTACTGCGGCTCCTCCCGTTTAATCTTGCTCCTATCAGATTTGAATCGTCTACGGATTTGACCTATGCATCTTGTGGGCGTTTGTCGAAGCAGCCAATGCGCTTCAAAATTATGCGACTTTGCTTTTTCTTTTATTTTGTGATTTTTTGCGACTTTCTTTCTGTCTTGTTTGTGTAGCATTTGGGTTTGGTCTCCATGTCTCCTCTCCAGGCAGATGTTGCTTTACATTGTGTTTTGCACAGGTTCGGGGATTTGAGGATCGACTTTCCCAGTCTTTACGGCGTTTTAGCTTGATGATTTCATATGGGCCAGGCGGTGTTGTCTCCAGAGGCGGTTTACACGTTGTCTCGCCTCATATACCCGGGTGTTTGATTCGATGTATCCTTTGTGATTGTCGCTTCTACCACTCAACTCTACTTTTAGTTCGATTTGTTCCTGGTTACTAGCAAATTGTACGAATAATATCAGCTTGACAAAATAATCCTAGGCTCAATCTGTAATCCAAATCAGCCTTAAAAAGTCACATGTCAGCAAGTAGGTAAACACGATGGTTCCTCGTGGCATTAAGTCTGATATGCACGTTGCCATTCGAAGTATAGGGCAGCCAATGATATCCATGGACGTGGACAAGTATTCATTCCTAAGGCACCCAGGCTTCCACGCGATTGCGATATTCCTCAGGCAACCGTTTCAGCCACACCACTTTCAACGCGGGTCCCATCGCCTCCTAGATTCCGACCAGGCTCTGGCGAGACCTTCGTGAGCACGGCCGCCAGGAAACCCTATGGCCCCGCTGGCGGTGTCCATATCTAGAAGGTCGGAGTTAGGAGACAAGACCGCTGTTAGCGGGCTCCCAACGGAGCCCGCTGCTCCCTATGGTGGCCTATGAGGCATCAACCTCACTCATAGTACGCTCGGACGATGGATATGACTCCTTGGCTGACAGCACTAGGCTAGGTATGACTCATTATTACGCGGATCGTGGGTTCGGCGAGACTCAACGCGAGCGGCTCAACGCGATATCACATGATGATCTTAGTGTGCTGTCTTCGTGTTTGTCGGGCCATTCTTTCCATTTATCTGGGATGGGGCTCTAGATGGAAGTGTAGAATCTCATGGACGTAGGGCGTAAGCAGCGCTCTAGGCGGAAGTATGGTTGTTTAGATTAGTACATTAGTAACAAGAACGAAAGGATGTATATCATAGCACGCCATGTATCCTTGTAGGCTTTTCTTCCGTTTGTTGCCTACTATATTAGTTGTTCAGACAAGCCATGAGTGAATGAATTGGCAATAAAGCCCTCAAAACACTACCGAATCTTGATCGACAGGTATGCATATAGGTTTTCACTCCCTTATTTATGAAACTTACACTATTTGATACACTCATCTCCCGGTAATATACTGGATTTCTGTATTAATAACTAAATCGACTTGTGCATATGTGTATCACCTGCAATCTGGAAGGTAATGAGCGTTTCTTTCGTACTGGAGACTAAAGCGTCCTATACTTCTCTTAATGAGAGACAGCTAGCATGGCCCTGATAAATCACTAAATATGCCAAATATTGCTGAGATTCAAGAGATAGAAGGTAACCTAAATCGCTTGATAGTTAGATTTGGGGTTCTAATTCAGTATCGCCCTACTGCCCCAGGTCAGATCACGCCGCGATGTTGGCAAGGTGATAATTTTTTTTGTCAACCATCCCGCGAAACAAATAATTTCAAAACTGAGCTCTTGATCGCGTTTGTAAATCTATATTAGTAAGGTATGGCTTTTGCCTGGATAAAATGCAGTGTCTTGATCAACCCTAGAGGCCGTGTCGATAGATATAGAGCCGACGTTATGTATGTGAGATGCCCTACGATCACTGCAGTAGATTAAGCGAGTAGAGTGTTGTTGGAATATTGAACGTTATCACCAGCATATTGTGTTGCTTTGGTTCTGTTTAGGACTTCTATGCGCTCTGATTTCGGACTAAAAGGGTCTCCATAGTGATCATTATAGACCTCACTTAATATATCCCAATGGAAAAGAGCCCCTATAATGCGACTAGGCTGGACAAAGCTTAAGAGTCCCTATTTCTCTAAATCAATTATGAACTTCTCGAAAAAATTCAACAAGTAAACTCAACTGTTGCCCCCAGGATGGTTTATAGACCTTGATAGTGGAGCCACCGATAACGATAAGGGAAAAAGTTCAAAATTCCACCCCACGTTCGATTTAAAGACAGTCACATTTCTTACAAAAGATAGACGGAACGAGTTTATTCTTATATATATATATATAATGCCTCACGCTCCACGCCAGGGAAACCGCAGGAGGTCCCCAGGTCCGAGAGCGAAAGCGCAAAAACCAAAGCAAGCGCCACCAGCAAACAAGCAGCACGCCAATCGCAAAGCCGAAGTCGAAAAAGCCAGAGCCGAAGCCGAACAACTCGAGGAAGAGGAGTCTTCTGGACTTAAGCTTGTTAGCACAATTCCTCTCACCCTCCAGCAACTGCTTTTGGACGTATTCAAGACAGCACTCCTCGGCAACCCAGTCGCAGAGTCGAAATCTGCAAGCCAGGATGCCAACCCCGCTGAATCACAAACAGACGAAAATAAAGATGAACCATTAGATATTAAATCTCTCATCCAAACAATCAAGGGGCTTCTATACCAGCGCGATTTTGACTCTGCCTTCACTGAGGCGGGCGAGGATCTGCTGCGCGCCTATGCCTTGCGCTGGAGTGCGTCCCGGTCATTGGGATATGCAGGCCTGTTGAAGGGAGTTTTGACTTGGATGAAAGAGGAAGAGGAAAACACGCGAGGCCGTGCTAGAAGCAAGAAACCCTGCACCCGTGTTGTGTCAATTGGTGGCGGAGCCGGTGCCGAGATTGCTGCTCTTGCAGCTGCGTGGAGAGATATGGGCCCCCAAGCCCAGTCGCTCGAGGAACGTGTTGCCAACGTTTCTCTTGAAGACACAGAAAATCAAGATGACAAGAAGACAGAAGTTGAAGATCAGGGTGTCAGCGCACCCAGTCTCTCTGTCATGGCTGTCGATATCGGAAACTGGACGGACGTTGTTGAGAGGCTTTCACGAACCATCACATCGGCTGATGTGCCATTCTCGCAGACAACAAAATATCGTCCGCCGTTGCTGTCGGAGAAAGTGGCCAGTGAAACATTCTCGGTGGCTTTCCGTCGCGCAGATGTCCTGACTCTTCCCGAGGAGGGACTGAAGGAAATTCTTCTCGGCCCTTCCTCAGTCTCTCCTTTCACTTCCATTCTCGTCCCTATCATGTTCACTTTGAATGAGCTTTTCTCTACCTCTATGCCAAAGACTACCGGTTTCCTGCTCAAAATGACGGAAATCCTTCCTGCCGGTGCGGTGTTCCTTGTTGTTGATAGTCCTGGCAGCTATTCGACTTTGAAGTTAGGAAAAGGACCGGACGGCGAACCACAGGAGAGGAACTATCCCATGAAGTTCTTGCTTGACCACACACTGCTGTCTGTGGCGAAGGGCAAGTGGGAGTGCGTATACACCCAGGATTCGAGATGGTGGAGACGGGACGCAGTGCGTCTGCGGTACGAAGTTGGTGAAGGTGCAGGCTTGGAAGATATGCGCTTCCAGATGCATGTGTATCGGCGTTTGTAGATTTGATGTGTTCTATTTCACGATATATAAAAACCATTTAATGAGCAATACGATTGAGTCTTCCAAAAAAGAAGTGTGGTGTGGAGTGAGGTATGGTATTGCTATAGATAAGAAGGTGGTTTAGTTCAGACCACTCCAAATTCACGCCACGAGGCGAGGCTCGCCCCAAGTCGCGACAAAAATTGCGATTAATTGGTACATTCAATGAGTTGTGAAAATGGGACTCATAAATCCCCGAGACAGCCTTATAACCCCCCCTAACTCCGCAGACCCAGCAGGAGGCTAGTGCTCTTGCTTCCATCCTTTCCCTCTCCACCAGGCAGGTAAGTGACGTTGGGGTTCGAAGACATAGTCGCGGCGATCTCCTTGCTGGCTTCGATACGACGGATCTCAATCAGTCCGCTGCCCGCCTTGGCAACGGCCTTGCTGATAATATCGGCACTCTCGGCTTCACCCTCAGCGCGAATGACGTTGGCCTGGCGCTCCTGCTCGGCACGCTCGACGATGAATCGGGCCCGCTCGGCATCCTGTTGGGCGATCTGCTTCTGCTCGACGGCCCGTGTGAACTCCTTTCCGAAGGTCATGTGTGTAATGGAGACGTCCTCGAGGGCGATGTTGAATTGTCCAGCACGCTTCATCAAGTCAGTGCGGATACGGTTGGAGACAGCTTCACGTTGTGTGATCAGCTCGGCGGCGTCGAACTGGGCCACGATGGCCTTGAGGACTTCGTTTCCGATGGATGGGAGGACACGCTCATCGTAATCGGTACCGTATGACTGTATGAATCTGGGTCAGTCTTTTGTTTTAGGTAGGTACTTAGGGATCATATGAGGTACACACCTGGTAGATCTGCGGCAGCTTCGGCACCTCCGGGCGGTGCAACACACGCAGCGTCAAGCTAACCATCTGCAAATCCTTACTTCCTGTTGTGGTGGAGATGTTGCGAGGCTTCGTGCGGACATCGTAGACAATTGCGCGCTGCAACCAGGGGATCAAGAAATGTGTTCCTTCGTTGACGACCTTCTCTTGCACACCAGACACTCGATCGAAGATGACAGCTCGTGTGCCGCCCTTGACATCGTAAAGGGAATTTTGAACTAGCATACCCCCAATAGCCACGGGGAAGGCCAGTCGATAAACATTTTGGAGGACTTGAGCCATGGTTGGAGGTGGAGGGCGAGGTGATGAGGACGGATGATGGAGATGATGTCTGCTTTTCCCGTTGCTCACTCTGAGTGTTCCCAATCGGGTTTAGTGCACCATCTTTCCAAACCTCCAACTTCGCCCGACCTTCGTCTTTTCCTCACTCATTTCGCTACCTCCACACCTTTTCCACCCCACTCCTTTCTTTTTACCCAAAATCATTCACAATGGGTGGCTCTGTGGACCCCAAGAACGGACAGTAAGTCGTTTCGCGTTTGCTCCTGGTGTCATGGGTTGAGTACCGGCCTCCCGGATGCGTTACCCGCCCGGCTACACAGTGCAATTCCCAAAAGATGCCAATTGAGTCGGCTTGGATAGACTCAATGACTTCTGTGCCTTTCATTCAGTTAACTGACGCATTTTACTTTCTATAGCTTCATCGGCAACTGGGGCGAGTTCGGTACGTTTGACAATAACCCTTGAACCTTTCACATGGACCCGATGCATGCGCAAGAGACCGACCCCTTACGCGATATGAAAGATCGCAACAACGAACACAGAAAGACCCAGAGGAACAAAGAAGGAGGACGCTATTCGAACGGATCGCTAATAATTACCTTTCAGGTTGCCCGACCCCCCAGCGCATCGCCACCTACTCGCTGTCCCCTAACCGTCAGCGTCCCATGGCCGGTGCTGCCCACGCTGCCATCTTCAACGTCTTCCGTCGTTTCCGTCACCAGGTTCTCTACGTTGTTCCCCCCTTCGTTGCCGCATACGCCATGATGAACTGGGCCATTGAGCGGTAAGAATGACCGCAGGAGCCGCTTCGATCGGTGCGCTAATTCCAATCCTTAGTAACGAGTACCTGAACTCCAAGCCCGGCCGTCTTCTCGAGGGTGGCAACGAGGAGTAAATTATCTCAATTTGTTTGTTGGAATGAGGTTGGATTGGTATAACAGAGCATGATACATCCAAGACTCTGCAGTTTGGGGGAGCTGTATGTTTGTACAGTAACTAGAAAGCAATCGACCGTTTGATTTTCCTTTTATCCGCCCTCTTTTTGCGCTTTAGGGATCTTTATTTTCTTATATTCAAAGTCAAGCTTGAGTAAGCGTCTTTCTAGGGCTCTCTATTGGTCCCTGAGGTGTCCATGCCCAATTGTGGGCATGGGGCATATCTACCAGGCCGAATTACAATCAATGAAAGGCTAATCGAGGTACCTAATACCTATTATCTGTATTAGAATTGGTCTAGTCCCTGTTTCTGAAGGATGTTTGCTGGTGTTGGTGGCAGCACAGCCGTTCCCCACTTGAGCCGAGAAGAAACAAAAAATTCGCCCAAAACAGCCAAACTTCCGCCGAACCCTTTTTCTTCGAATGCTTCGTCTCTCCAGACTCTCTTCTGCTTTCTACTCATCATCTATTTTCCCCCGTCGTTTCTCTTCAATCCCTATCAAAATGAGCGAGCTCACCCACCCCACCATCCAGGGTATGTCTATAACAACAACCCCTCCATTACCCCGCCTTCTGGTCAATTTGTTACAATAGCATGCTGATGCCAATCTACAGATGGCTGGTTCTCTGAGAAGTCCGGCATGTGGCCCGGTCAGGCTATGAGCCTCAAGGTCAACCAGATCATCCACCACGAGAAGTCCAAGTACCAGGATGTCCTCGTCTTCGAGAGCAGCGACTACGGTACCGTTCTCGTCCTGGACAACGTTATCCAGTGCACCGAGCGCGATGAGTTCTCCTACCAGGAGATGATCACCCACCTTGCCATGAACTCCCACCCCAACCCCGAGAAGGTCCTCGTCATTGGTGGCGGTGACGGCGGTGTCCTCCGTGAGGTCGTCAAGCACGCTTCCGTCAAGGAGGCTACTCTGTGCGACATCGACGAGGCTGTCATCCGTGTTTCCAAGAAGTACTTGCCCGGCATGGCCATTGGCTTCCAGCACCCCAACGCCCACACCCACGTTGGTGACGGCTTCGAGTTCCTCAAGAACCGCCAGAACGAGTTCGATGTTATCATCACTGACAGCTCCGACCCTGAGGGTCCCGCCGAGTCCCTCTTCCAGAAGCCTTACTTCGAGTTGCTGAAGTCTGCCCTTCGCGAGGGAGGTGTCATCACTACCCAAGGTTGTTCGTCACTTTCTTTTTTCTGCCCAGTCCCTTTTCTAGAACAATCGGTCCTTGATTGCTCGTTGTCTTCATTTTATTATCTCACTCCTTTTTTTTAATAAAAGATCATATGCTAATCTTTTTCGCACCACCCCGCAACCAACCCGCTTTACGGGCTCGGTTTTGCGGAGCTGTGCTTTATATCGAACAGCCGAGAACCAATGGCTCCACCTTGACATGATCTCCGAACTTAAGAAGTCCTGCAAGGAGGTCTTCCCCGTCGCCGAGTACGCCTACACCACCATCCCCACCTACCCCTCCGGCCAGATTGGCTTCATGGTCTGCTCCAAGGACGCTACCCGCAACGTCCGTGAGCCCCTCCGCACCTGGACCCCCGAGGAGGAGCAGAAGCTCTGCCGCTACTACAACCAGGACATCCACCGCGCCAGCTTTGTTCTGCCCAACTTCGCTCGCCAGAAGCTCGGCAACTAAGTGTCGTGATCTTTGAAAAAGCTTTTATGGTCTTTATATCCTCATGACGATATTGAAATGAAATCATGGATTTTCGTACATCTGATCCCGTAGATTGGTCCACTTTGTCTCGTGCGTAGTCGTGTATTATGCCGCCTGGTTGTTCAGTTATAAATCTCATCATGGTGTTAAGACTGTCAGGCAATAACCTTGGACTACGGCCTTTTTCATTATGTCTCCATTCTAATGACATGTTTAGCATACGTGTTGCCAGATTCCCAGTTCTTCTTGCAACAAGACACAGCACAGGAGTTATTAGATATTAGATCCAAGTCTTGAATGTTCGCGCCCCCCCCCAAACCGACCTTGGTGTTCAATAAGATATTAGATCCAAGTCTTGAATGTTCGCGCCCCCCCCCAACCGACCTTGGTGTTCAATAAACAGTACGACGGTAATGATCTGCGGCGACCCATCCAGCGTACGTCTTGCGAGATGCACCTTCACTGGGCAGCGAGATCGATAACCTTGGAAACTCTGCGGAAACGAGAGCCAGTTCCATTAAAGGTAATGTTGATAGGGCTGACACTTATCCATTTAGTTATACGGCAGGCTTACATCATGGCTTTTGTTATTTTCCCTACAGATATTCAGCAATAGTCGCCACTGTACTAGAAGTAGATTGTTCTGTATTTCACTTGTTATCAATTGACCTGCAATCTATAACTTATCATTCCTCTCTGTGTAGTGACCCCGATTCTCGGAAAGGGAACTCTCAATGTCACAAATGACATGAGTGACGACCTCGTCAGCATCACACAGGGTGGACCAAACCTATGTACATCAGATGACATTGCCACAATATACGTAAGCGGCTGTACATACCCCCGTTCGACCTTCCCATCCTTACTTACAAACCTGGTCTGCGTTACACCGTCGGGATAATGTGCTATCAACTGCAACCCCCAACCCCCAGCGTCACCCAATACCTCAATCAGAGCTCTCTCAATGTTACTCTGGCAGTATCGATGCCAATTCCGAATGCAACGGCCGCTATATCAGGTACTCGACTCTATGTCGGTGTATCCACACCTTCCAAGCTGGAAGCCCGACAACTTGTATCGCGCGCCCTTCAATTGGCGTTGGCCCGCCCTAACCCAACCAGTCTCCTTTGTAGGTAGTTCTCGGTTAAGTGGAGACTCAATTACTACGACGGAATTAATACAGGGCATTCTGCAATTGAGTTCTGCAGCTGACGTGGATTGGGGATTCTGGCTTGGCCAGGATACTCTTAATAACAGAGGTATTAGGATACAGGGACGATGGATCTATAGATACCATGTATGCTTCAAGAAAGCATATCTGAATTAAAAAATCAGCAGAGCTCCAAGACAAACAAAAAGCGTAAGCTCACCTTAGGAAGTTTATCGAAGTCAGGGGCCCTGAGAACCTCAACGCCGATGTGCGGCCTTTTTCATGAGGCCACTAGGGCTATGATGCCCACTACTTAATTTGGCTAAAGTTGGAAGGAATGACACACAATAACATTCTCACTTTGGCAACTACCGTTTGGATAGCAAGTGCAGCTCAGCTATGCCCAAGACAGGAAGGTGCGATGTACCTAGGTAGGAATGGGGGAACACATCATGCTCCGGCTGGGCGGGAAATGACAAGTCACTTTCTACAACCTTCACTCCACGCCCCATCCACATCTCTAGGTTCTTTCGAAGAGTCCGACAACAAATTGGGCATTCATATTCCCGACACAGCTGAACACATCACTTCAGCGGGCAGGAAATTTCCTCTATCGTTGGGATTCGGATAAAATCACAATAAGCCCCAGATATTCGAACCACTACTTGGTAGCTCCAAAACGGAGGATACGTTGCGTCGCAAATTCTACTCTGCATGATGAAGAAGGACTTGTACATTAATGCCGAAGACATAAGGCGTTACGACTCGGTCATACACAAGGGAGCGAAGTACGACATAGGTGGCGACTGGACTACAGCCTTTGGTATAACACAGAGGAAGACTTTGCGATAAGTGTGATCACTATCGAAGCGAAGTCAGGAGGAAGTGCGAACTCCGACAACTATGGTATCTCAGGCACTCGGATACATGGGTAAGTGGTTTCTATTATTTTGGTTTTAAAGCTTGGAATATATAATCTAACTTGATCAAAGGATGCGTTCATAGAAGACGAAAGGACCTTGCGAAGATAGATTCGACTATCTATAGCGTTGCTGGATCTGTAACAAACCCGTCGCTCTGTGGGTGTTTGGCGTACACTTCTTACCCGGCATACGGAGACTATTACCTGCTGTGCGGATCTAAGCTACATTTTGGGTATTTTGAAGATCAACAATGATTTGGAGGTAAGTCCATTCCATCATTGAATCACATGTCTTCTAATGTTTGGATAGTGGCGCGAACATATTGTTGTTGCTCATAATCACGGGTTTGCCCATTCACCACAACAGCCACGCCCGGGTAATTTGGCTGGAGCGAGACAATTATTCGCCTACATGACAATGGTATAGACGAACTGAAAGGCCGATCATCAGTCAAAGTTATTCGCGCAGGAATGCCTAAGTGACGGCTGGGAGTTTCGGTTTTATTTCCTCGACTTGGAAGGGTCGTCACAGATATCTTCAGCCATCTCAGGCTGGCAAAAGACGCCACTAAGTTTGCTCATATGATAATACAAGCACAGGCAGTGGCGATTCCACTCCAAGCTATGTACTAGGAGGGACACTGCGTACTCAGCGACACAGACCAGTGCCTTTAAATTTGAATCGATACCGGCCATTTTCTCCGAAATTAAAGATAGAATATAATGTGCCCACGGCGCGTGGCCCAATTGATTTAAAGTTCTATGCGAACCCCTTTCATCGTCATATTGACTCCTTATTCTAGCAGTAGCCGGGTAATGACCTCCTCCCTTCCATAGACTGGCTGCTTTATAGATGAGTGACTACACTTGGCGGTCCCCTACCTTTTCGTAACTTGAGACGTAACTTGAGAAGAGAAATAAAATATTACGATACCCTTCGGTTTGAATAGATTAGCTGTCTTTAAGCTCTTCAAACATATCTATAGTACTTAGATTTAAGTATATAAAGAGGGAGTTTAATATATTCAAGCAGTGCAAAAGGAGTCTTCATCGTATTGTCTCGTAGTCGAATTTTCAGTTATCTGTCCGACGTAATACTGATCGGTTAAGATGCTCAGGAGACACTGAACTGATCCCCGACAGGTGAAGATTCAGATTGAAATCTCCTAGGAGGCTCTTCAGCACATGGCTCACTCCGTGCTCACCTTGAAGGGCCAACCCATAAATGTATGGACGGCCAATCAAGACCATCTTTGCACCAAGAGCCAATGCCTTCACAATATCAGCACCGCAGCGAACACCTGAGTCAAAGATAATCTCTAAATCATCTCCCACAGCATCAACGATCTCCGGCAAGACATCCAAAGACGCAATACCTCCATCCTGTTGTCGTCCGCCATGGTTGGATACCACAATTCCTTGGACACCATATTCCACAGCTCTCTTCGCGTCAGCCACCGTTTGGATTCCCTTCAGAACAATTGGGCCGTCCCAATGTTCCTGGAGGAATTTGAGATCTTCCCAGCCGTGACTCACGCCGGGGAATACAGTATGTGCCCACTCCGTGGCCGCAGTTTGGACGTCCTCCTCAATGGGTTTCCCATGCTTTTCTTGGAACTTGCGACGGTATACAGGGTCAGAGAATCCCAATGCTACACCGATATCGTCTGCACGGATAAAAGGGTTGTATGCATTGTTCAGATCACTGGGACGCCATCCAAGAATGTACGTATCCAAGGTGACCACCAACACCTTGTAACCCGCTTTCTTCGCCCTTGACAACAGGCTCACCGTGATATCATTGTTCTCATTCAGAGGCCAGTAGAGCTGATACCAACGGGACCCATTCCCATTGGCCTCCGCGACATCCTCGATGCTTGTGGCGGATGCGGTGCTGAGGATATAGGTGACATGTTCCTGCTCAGCAGCCTTCGCCGATGCCTTCTCCCCATCCGGATGGAAAATACGCTGCACGCCCACCGGCGCCATGGCAATCGGATACTCGAATGTCTCGCCAAAAAGCGTCGTTGTGAGGTCTGGGAAGTCACTCTTGACTAGACGTGACGGCACAATCCCCCATTTCTTGAAGGCTTTTTTGTTGTTGTCGTCTGTGTCGCGAGTTCCAGCGGAGCCCCAAACATATCCGTATGAATCTGCCGAGAGTCGATCTTTGGCTAGGGTTTCCCAGTCGAGACAGTTGAAGGTTATCGAGGGCTTTTGACCTTTGAGACCGGCTTGGTACACCTCATTTTCGTATGTAAATGGAGCCAATGGGTGGGCAATTGACTTGCTATGCAGTGTGCTGTCTTGTTGAGATGACATCATGGAAGTGATAACAGAAATAAGAACCAAATTGAGATAACCAGTTGATAAATGAATATGATGCAAATCAGGGAATGGAAGCTGGCTTTATACCTGCAGGGCTACAATACTTGAGATAATGGGGCTCTTCGAAATTGATTATAATTGGTGGGTTTAGTAGAGGATATCAAGGAAGTTCGGTGCTTATTGTAAAATGTATGTTCGGCCGAGATTCATCACGACGTCACGCCACTGAATGGCATTTAGTTAACAAGTTCGGATCCGCCACGATCCGAGGAGCAAAAAATATACTCCGGATTCCTTTTTATCATCTTTGATGCCTATGGTGAATTTGTTAGCCTTTAATCTTTTAAGATGTTACTGGTTTATCATGCACTATGCAGGATGACGTGTAGGTGGGTTGTGATAACTAAGCGGCGCCCGTCTGCCAAAAAGATAAGCTGGCTACTATAAGAATACACCGGAAGCCCTTCCAGATACGAGAACTGACATGTTTATACACTGAGCACTCACTAAGTAGGCGTCACGCGGAGCGGATAAGTCAACACACCTGAGCAAAATACACCATGTTAAGCCTATGCACATTTAGTCGTAAGTTAAATCATAAAGAACAATCCAATTTGAGCCAAGTAAATCTCATCATCGTAATAATTATCGTACATTTTTTCGAGGTTGCCAAACTATTATTCGTTATGACCAACACGCCCCCCCCTAAAATCCAGCCATAGCGATGACCACTAAACAGCAGCAGAAGCCTCACGTCTAGAAGCTCTACCTTTCTCTGACCACGGGAAATGAAAGACAGGAATGATGAAAAAGCTGTTACTGTCATCCGCAATACCAGCCAGGGCACTATACCACGCCAAGAAGGCAGCCATGAGAGCAAATAAGCCGCCAGCTGTGAGAATTGGCGGATTAGGCTTTCCCTGGGCATCGCGATGGAGGTGTCCAATCCCAAGCAGCAAGAATGCCACATCTACACATAGGAAAAGGGAGAAAAATACCGCAGTCGATTTGACAGTGCACGTAAGGAGCAGAAAGGTGAAGGCAAACCAGCCCTAGGAGTTGTTAGATAAAGGAAAGCGGTGATTTAGATGGGAAAATTAACCTACCATAAGGAACAACCCATATGAATCGTAGAACATGTCAGTTGACCCATTGTCGGCTTTCTGAAGCTCTGACATGATTTGGAATCCAGGAGTAAAGGTGATGCCCAGGGCGATCCAAAAACCACCGTATGAAGACAGAGCGGTGGCACCAAATGTGTTTCCAGCGGCCATTTCCCTACCAGAAAGATAAATTCGTTAGTTCAGGTTCTCCCACAACGTATATTCCATACAAAAATACTTACCACATGCCAGCGAGAAGCTGAACTAGCCCACCGTAAGCGTAAGCAACACCAACAACCATATTAGGCTCTGTGATATCCAGCGTGCCCATGTTGATACATCCTAGTACAAAAGTGGTCAAGGCAAACCCCGAGAGACCTAAAGGCGCAGGATTTGCGAACTTTCGAAGCTTAGGCGTCCGATAAAGACCTGGTTGCAATTCGCCTGCAAAAGCAGGCAATCGGGACTCCACAGTATTCACGTGTGCTAGTGGGCCATAGTTCTCGAGGTGGGTCGGTTGAAAGTCCTCCACTTCGATGTTGGTGGTGGGCTCATGGCTAGATCCCTTCTCATGGCCGGGGTTGTCGGAATTTGAAAGAACAGTCATAATTGCAGCTTCTTGCTAATTATAATTGAGTTGAAGTTTGCCTCTATAATGAGTCGATGTAATGGATCGTATGTATTCTGAGATTGGCAATGTAAAGAGAGCACAAGATCTTTGATAACAAAAAGGCAACATTAACAATTCAGGAGAGGGGATATCACATTATAAATAGTGCCTGTGGGATTGCATTTTGTATTCCTCTCTGGGGAAATGATCTAAGCGTCAATGCGGGGTGAACCCTTACCCCAGGCGAACAGCGCAAAACAGGGACACGGCAGTGAGCAGGAAAACTCTTTCGGTATAGATGGTCGTGGGGTATACATCGGGGTTTCGTAAAATGCGGGGACCGAATTAATCGTTGGCTTTCCGTGGCGAGTGGCCGAGAAAGCTGCTCTCCACCTTGCCGATTAACACTAGTCTCGGCCGAGAACGACACAATTCTGTTCACGCCTCCGGCCGAGAACCACGCTCTAGCTCATGGGAAAAGTGGATTGGCATGTGAGAGTGGGTATAAACGCGAAATCATGTATGAGTTTGAGTCGTAATCTTCTTCCATCATCATTGAGGAGAGGGGAACCAGAAAAGAGCTACAGTATACGGATTATGCAGCGGCTCGGACATGGAGATATTGTTGACCACAGATAAGCTTCGGAGGCTGATTTAACCATAATCGATTATGTAATCGCCAAGGGTGGAGCCATCCGTTGTTAGCTCCAGGGTAATCTCGCAGTTGAAAGGGGTGTCCAAAATCCATTCATTTGATTGGATGGCAGTAAGAGATTTGCGATGAAGCTATACCGGATTGGACACGGCTCTGACAAGGATTAGCATCACCGACCCTCACAGACTACATTATACACGTTATGCAAGACATAGATTCCACGTAGCAGGGTCTGGACCCAAGGGTCTGTACAACATAAGAGTTCTTGGGCCCCTAAAGTGGGCAGACACTGTGACCGCACACTACACGAGAATAATAATTCACTCGGCCGAGAACACGTTAAGATAGACTTGTGTTATTATTCCTTCCAAGGTTACCAATGCACGGCCATTGTCACGGTGGACCAAACTCTCATATGAACCGCAGTAACAGTTCTTCTACTTCTTAAAACAACCCATTGGGCACTTCATTTCAGACCGTTAGTCGGAGATATTCGATGCCTATTATCGCCAATCGTCTGCGACATACTAGAACAGAGTCACAGATCGTGGCGCAAAAAGGTGAGGAATTATCTGTTCTGACCCCTGGGATTATATATATCAATATCCTGAATCTCGGGCCATACCCAAAAATGCGATAGCGGCCAGATCCAAAATTTATCGGGGGGTCTGGAGGACAAAATATCACCCAGTGGACTTGGTCTTCTGGAAGAGGAGAAATGTCTTCCTGTTGACAGCTTTGGTTACGTTTTTTTGGAGCCGGGGGGGTTGCCGGAACTGGAGGGTAAAACGACAACGAACGCGCCGCGTTTCTAAAAGGTGCGATTGTGTGGATAGTGGGCTGGAATGTTGGATTTTGGTAATATTGAAATTGACTGAGAAGGAGAAGCTATTGGATTAGGCTCAGCCGATTGAATCACGCTTCGTGATTGTCGATTTCTCGAACAGCTGCTAGCCTAAGCGTGACTAGACATCGAGATATTGTTAAAATACATCTCAGAAGCGACTCTGCAAAAACTGCGTATTTATGACAATTGGTATATCAGATCGATTGGTGTGACCATGAAGTCGATTGGTAGATGTAGTGTTTGGTACATTAAATCGGCTTGTTATTTCACGAATTGAGCGAATTTTTGCCTCTGGTAAGCTTCAATATCTATAAAGGACCTAAATACCCTCTCGCAAAATAGATTTTCTGGATTTTTGAACAAATTGGTGGCATATTAGGTAGTTGAGTATTAGGTATGTGTTGAGTGGTTGTGATGTTGGTAGCGGTGCTGAGTAATCCCTGTCCGCCCGCCCGACGTCAGAGTGCCAAGATCGTTCCCAGGGAATGCATAGAACTTTGCGGAGAACCTCACAATTGCCGGACATCTGCAGGCTGGATTGTTCCACACGCCCTAACACTTTCATTACCTGCGCATGTCACCTTAATGGTCACTGGATTCAATGGAATGAATAAAAAGACGTGGATCAACTGTCAAACCAAGAACGCCGAACATGCAGCCTGTGGCGGGGCCCTCCAACCCGTCTAGCACCACCCAACCGCGAAGGTCGCCCTCGGCGACAGGAAATCCTCAGATTACCCGGAAACGTGTGATATATAGCTGTCAAACGTGTCGTCGGCGCAAAGTCAAATGCGACAAGGTAATCTTCCTTAGCCCAGGAGAAACTTACCTGAACTAAAACATTGTTTCTAGACACTTCCAGTATGTGGAAACTGTGCGAAAAACAGTACCGAGTGCACCTACGACGCAGAAGCACAGAAAGATGACATGCGACCCAACCGCACCCGCCGGGCGAATAGAACCAAACGACGGAGAGAGATTGAACACTCGGAGGAAAATACAGATGAACGCCGGCCGACCTATGACACTTTGAGGCAGGCATCATTATCAAATGGCCAGAAAACAGATTTAACCGCGGTGGAAGCCCATCTGGCTCAACTTGTATCGCTGGTTGAGCGGCTACGGAAAGATAACCAGGCCCACGAATCAACAGAGATGCAAGCGACTGCATCAAACCCTAGCGTGGAAACGGCACCGAGGAAAGAGGGCAATTCTCGGAGTGAATCGATCGTGGATCGACCTGGCAGTCCGTTTAGCGCTGGTGCTGATTGTAGCAGCGATGATTTTCCCATCCCAAAGGGTCAGACTACGGATTTGGTTGATCCACTGGAAACTTCAAACTTGGGTCACATGTCATTGGGGGATGGGGGGAGGTCAAGGTCAGTACCAACGCACTAGGTCAGATTACGTTTAGGTGTCTAATTTTGAGTTTAGATATGTTGGAACAACATATTGGGCTAACATTTCCCATGAGATGGAGGAGCTCAACCAATTACTTGGAAACCAGAATCAGTCGCATGATTTAGCGGCATGTAGTGATACCGCAACCGAAGTTTCTAGCAAGCGAAGACAACGCAAGGGATCGATAAGCAGCCAAACCACCAGCCAAACCACGCGCTCTCCCTTTCCGCTCGTCTTCTCAGAGCCGATTCAGAAAGCTGTCTGCATCCCATCGGCCTATCTATCACCGAATGATAAAGCAGTTGAGCCATATATGCTTGAACATGTTCCGACGAAATGGCAGAGTGACATTCTCTATAAGGCATTCATGTCTGGTGTCCACTCGCTGAGTCCTATCATTCACCCTCCGATGATCTTAAACCTTTACAAAGCCTTTTGGGAGTGGTATGACTGCAAAAGTTATACAGGGGAGCCATATCCTAGTCCTTCTTTTATTCCACTCCTATATGCGATATGGTTCGGAGGCTCAGTTTCAATTTCCATGAGCACAATGGAGACGGAGTTCAATACTTCGTCACGAGCTATGCTTTCGACAAAGTATAGCGAAGAGGTCACTTGTTGGTTGGCCAAGATCTCGTTTCCCCACAGTGTCACCCTTCACGGTCTGGCGGCCTATCTTATTGCGCAGACAATTTTGTCAAGAGAGGAAGAACCCTTGGCAAGTAGTTTGTTTGTTAGTTTAGCAGTGAGAGTGGCGCAGACATTGGGGTTACATCGGGATCCCGCCCATTTTAATATTGATCCATGGGAGGCAGAGTTTCGACGCCGATTGTGGTGGCATATCATGCATATGGATGCCGTTATCGCGATGTCGAGTGGGCTTCCGCCATTGCTTACCGATACGACCTACTGGGATGTTCGCGAGACGAGCGAGGTCAAGGACACCTTGGTGGGTACCGCCGAAGCCAAACAGTATGAAGAATTCGTTGCCCATGGCCAGCGGCCACCCGATAATCCAGACGACCCGACTGTCTGTGGTGGGCCGTCGATAGTGAACGTGTATTATTTGAACGCGAAGGCCAAATGTATAATGGCCCGTGAGTGATTCCGGGCTTAGATATTAGGCGCGTGGGCTAACCTTCTCGCAGAGTCTGTTCGTAGAATACTAAAGATCCAGCTGGGCACGAAACCTGTAACAAGAGGGGATATGGTGGAACTGCGCTCTGTCCTTCACGATCTTCAAGTCAAACTCAACTCCATCATAAGCCGAATTCCAGAGGCAACGGCAACTGAAAAACCAACAGCGTTTTCAAAACGAGGTCCTCATTCCACCGCTGCGGAGCTTCCCATTGAAGGTCCATCTGGATGCTCCGAGCAATATCATTCAGAAGTCCTTGTCGCATTTCATAAATGGGCCCGGATTATCTTGTCGTTGTTCATTGATAAGGTGGATAATTTTCTGCAGAAATCCCGTTTGGCACTAACATGGATGTAGGCATTTTGCGTTGCATACCAACCATTCCTCAGAAATCCTCGAAGTCGAATCTGGCCTGTAGCACGCCAAAGGTAAGTACCGCGACTCATTGAGCTACTAGGTCTAATTCAAATAGTGCGCTACGCCATTGTTACGCATTCATGGAGAAGTTCATTCGATTGGCGACGGATCCCGACTTTCAACCGTTCCAATGGGGCTGGCCTGGGTGAGCATTCCGATTGTACAAAAAGAAATTTTGACTAATAATCGCCAAGGAACCACCAGCCCATGCATGCAATGATGTATGTTGAAATCTAGAGTTAGTAGGGTGATAGCCATACTAACTAGATCTAGGATTATTCTCATCGACTTGTACGAACGACCATATAGCCCCGAAGCCTCCATGTCTCGCGGATTTGTTGATCAAATTCTGTCGCTTTCTGGACCGGACGGGGGCGTCGTAAGTGGCGGAGATGACATCTTCACACAACGCCCGTTGAGGAATGGAGGCCGAGAGGCCTGGGGCATGATTCGTCGTCTGCGCCAAAAGGCCTGGCAAAAAGCCGGTTTGAACCCACAATTGCCCTGCACGGGACAAGATTGGTCAACCGAGACCGATTTTGCAAATGTCCCATACTTCAAATCCATGTCATCTGAAATTGTGGCCGCGCCTACTACTAGCGCGGCTGCAACTACCACTCTCCCGTCATACGACGAAGCATTTGCTCCCAGCTCAGCCTTTGCTCGTTCCTCCGCCGCTACTATCCCGACTCAACAATCCCTCGTTAACTCTTCCACGGTGAATTTCCTGGACACCGCCAGTCAGAATATAATGCCCGCTCCTGAGCCCTCTGCCCCCCTTATGATTGATCCGAGTCTCAATTTTGACTGGGGTGAATGGGACAATATCTTTGGGCAATCTTTACCTGTCGCTGATGAGCTTATGGAACTCGATCAAGTCACGGGGCTTGCATTTGCGGACTTGGAAAATGGCGCTATGTGAGACGATCATGAAATAGAGACAAATAAATATCCTACCGGGGCCTATTGCTCAATCTCTGCCTTTCACCCGTACACTATACATTCTTCTTTTTTCTACACTCCACATGGGGTGTTGGTCGTATATCTCTTCAACTTATTTGGCTGATCGGAATGCAGGTCGAGTGATGGTAAGGAATGTCAAAATTTGCCCAAGAGCCATAGTTCTATACTAAATTTAGTAGGATATGTAGAAATGTATAAGATAGATACGCGTAATATCTGACTCTATGTACTGATTTCATCCAAGATCTTCGAGCCAAGAAGCAGAGATACCCTGTCAGGGACAAGACATTCATCTGGTTCTAGCGAGACACCAACTCGTCTTGATTCAATGATATGTTCCTCGTCGTAGGGATCGCGGTGGGAGAGAACTTCGATCATGCGAGTGTGCCAGTATCCGTCCAAAAATTCCATGACGGGGAGACCAAGCTCGTCAAACTTGATTTTGAGTTCATCGAGAAGTTTTTCGAGTTCAATTATTCTTAACTTTTCTTCGTCAAGAATCTCCCTTATCTCTTCCTCTTCTCTGCTCTCGAATTTGAAACGATTGAAGATATAATATTTTTCGATGCAACATGAATGTTTTAGACCCAATGCATCAAATGTCAGAAATCTAATAACCTCCCAGCCAATTTCTGTATCTCCTCTAGTCCACCAAAGGAAGAACTGTATCAGCTCTCGGACCCAAAAGCTGCGTTCCTTAATCCCGAGGATGGAAAAGAAATGGACGACATGTCGGAGCAATACCGACATCGTAGTACACCCACCCGAGGAGCAGGGACAGAAACATCCATCCCGAACCGACGGAAGGAGGAAAACGGACTTTCCGAACTCCACGACAGCCTGCTTCCAGTTTTCGTAGGTCGACCAGGGGCCTGGTCCGATTGTACGAAAGGTGAATAATTCTTCCAAGAAATTATGGACGATATTCACCCCGAGATTATGTGCTACAGTTGCACTAGTTCCAGGTACCTTTTCATATGGATCAGCGCCTTTTGAAACTAGCCAATGCATCTTCTTCGCGACTTCTCTGTGCCGGTGAACCAGGTGATCGCATACGACCATGAGAGGCACATAGCCATTGGAGTCCAGCTGAGTGACACCCCTGAAGCCGACTTGGTAGAGTTCGTCCAACGTCTCGGCAGTGAAATATGAGCAATGGTAAGCCGATTCGCAACCAAGATTGTCAGTCAAATAACCATGCGAGATATTTGGATCAATGGATATCCCTTGCTCTTTTAGTCGAGCTTGTATCTCTGAGGTGTGTATATCGAATATCGTAATCTCGCCAGTCTTCTCATCGTTTGAGATCAATTTTGGAAGTTGATCAGCGGGCAAGCAAGATTGGGCCAAATGCCAGAGTTTCTTGTGTCGCACGACCAATTCACTAATGAGAAGTGATTTCATTTTGGGAGTGCTTTTGCACGTTTGGACTTGAGCAATATCATACCAGTTGAATGACCATCCAGCTTCAAGAAGAAGCTTGACTGACTGATAAGTATCCTCGTTGTTATTGTCTTCAAAATAAGGGATTTTTGCATTCTTGGCCTTTGGCGTTGCACCTGCCTCTAGTAAGATGCCAATTCCTTTTGGCCACCCGAACGCATAATCAATCAAAGATGAAGTGCCATCTATTATCTCATTTGGGAAAACTGTCTCCGAGTTAAGGGCATCTCTCAATTCATTCTCAGACTCTTGGAGTAAGATCCTTGCGATATTCGGAAGTTTTATTGCTTGGAGCAAATTAGTGTTGTTAAATGGGACACAGCAAATGTTCACATACACTCATCGCTTCGGGAAAGCAGGTGCCGAATACCTTGCCTGTCTGCTAGAGAATGAGGAGCGCAAATAGCGAAGGAATAGCCAAGGTCGAGCAGACGCGAGCCCAAAGAGCATTTTTTTCTAAACATGGCGAAGTTGCACCAGTGATAGAATGTGTTACTTCCATGGTTGTAGCCCTGGTTTGGCCTGGAACCACAATCCAGTAAGAAATTGAGAAGTCTGAATGATTGTTCTGACAAACCCAAGTCCACCGAATGAAGAAAGATGGAAAAAATCTATTTGTGTGAGAGGAATGTGTGGGGTCGGAAAGGGGTTGTGCCTACATCAAAAAGTGAATATGAGGCCCCTCTGCCGGAAAAAATTAAATCAAATGGTGATGCCTCTTGCAGATCGAATGCATGCTGCAGCTCCTGCATCGTGCGATCCACGAGTAATTCAAGCTCGTTTGGTGTTGTACAATGAATACTGTCAAATTGAAGTTCGTTCATAATACGCAATCCCAGACTGTCCCCTCCGTCCAATAAAGGATGCAGATGCAATAATGGAGCAATTGAATAACCCCCAGCTCCCTTATTAAGCAAGAACGAGGCCCGAATAGCAAGGCCTAACATGCGACTACAATAGTAGTAGGATAGGCTGATGAATTTCGTTTCCTTGTGGGGTCGGTGTGAACGAGCTGTGCATGCACTGTTGGCTGGATTGCGGTTCTGACAAGCAATCAATGTTCCATGAGGTGCTTTTGTTCTGCACGAATTTGAGCAAGTTCCATCACGACTCGCTCCAGCAGAGGTGGTCTGTTTCATATGTCCACCTTGCGTTGCTATTGACAAAGACGAGCTCAATATAGGCAGTTGTTCTTGTTGTGCACACCATGATTGTAACAAACTTGGCGGTAGCTTTGGTAGATCTCGCAATTTCAAATTCTGAACTTAATTAGTTTGGTCTAAAGTATGGGTATAGGAAGGAGCACCATCTCCTGCATCTCTTGAACCACCCCCCCAGTAAAGCTCGAGTACTTTGGGCCGAATAGCTAATACTTAATTAGCACCTACATGGTACTTCCAAATAATTTCTTCAAGCCCAAGCAAAAGAAAAGAGAAAAAAAGAAACCTTACATCTGTAACGCTGTGTGGAGCACCACCTGGATGCTATCCAGATCACTGGCCATCTCACGAAATCCTTCTTTTCGAAAGGGATATGCGCCTTTTTTGAGCTGGAACCGGAATGAGTCTGGATCGGAAGTAGTAGATGCATATCGGTCTGTTGCAGTCTTGAGCCGTTTTATTACGTGCTCAATGCTCTTCGCCTTGTTTTCAAGGTCACTTGCGATCGCGGGGTCGGTGGTACGGATATCTTCGATTAGTTCCCTCAAGGCTCTCAACGGCATACGAAGCCCATCGGCCTTTTGGCCGATGTTTTGGATGTCCTCGTTGAAACCCCGCCATGCCTGGCAAAAGGAGACAATCTTCCCACAGACCTGTAGACCGAGTGATATAATACCCACGGCTGTACCGGCTACAGAGAGAGGATCAGACATGGCTCGATAAAGTGGAAATTGAGAAGTGGTGAGAGTGAGCTCTGGGTGGTTTTTTACTTTTCAAAGCGTTCCAGGCAGTGCATGACCGGCGCCATGTGTCGTGGCGCCAATCAGATATCCCTGTTACTGGTGAGGCTGAGTATGGCGAGGCTGATCACGAAGGAACCCATTTGGCCCGTCATTTCTGTCAGGATGATATACTTAACATACATCAGGGATTGGAAGCATTTGATATTGATCGGATAGGATCCCTATTTTAGGTAAAATGTAGGTGTAGCCTCTGTAACTTACATAGGTTGTCCACTCGACTATGTGTACACAAGTTAGAAAGGGGAGGACTAAGATATAAGCTCAGATATGACTCGACTAAACATGGATGTTTTTCTAGCTATATCATGGAGTGTAGCCCTATATTTAAGGGCATATAACGTACTATCGTACAATACCTCCGAGGTCCGCCGCTCCCCGCATGGCCCCCTCCATTCCCCACTAATCGGCGAACATCTCCGAGACCATCTATTCCGTATACTTGGCTACCTCTCTCTTTCCTACCACCCTTCTACAGCCCCAATCCCCTAAAATCCAAAAGCCATGGCAACAGAATATCCCCACCGAATCGCCCTGCTCGGCCTCGGCACAATCGGCCTCTCAATGCTAGCAATGCACCTCCGACGCCCCGACACCAGCATAACAGTATACGACCCACGCCCAGACTACGAATCCCAAATCCGGAGCACACTCCCCTCCCTCCTCGATTCCCCAGGATCAACAACCCTAATTGACGACCTAATCCGCACATCCCGCCTAAAACTCTCCACCACCGTCGTCGAAGCCATCCAAGACGCAACAATCATCCAAGAACAAAGCCCGGAAGTCACATCCTCGAAACAGGCTCTCTGGAAGGAAATCGCCAGTCTCGCAGGCCCAGATACACACCTATGGAGCAGTTCATCTGGAATCCCCGCATCGGTACAAGCATCCGGGTGTTCAGCCGCAGACCGTGTCGCGGAGCGGTTGGTCGTCGCGCACCCGTTCAACCCGCCGCATCTGATGCCGCTTGTGGAGATCGTGCCTGGACCTGAGACGGAAGCTGAGAGGGTTGAGTTTGTGAAGAGGTATTTTGGCGATATACCCGGTCCCGCGGTTTCAGGTGGGGATCAATCGGCTGTGCAGCATTACCGGCCTATCACGTTGCATAAGGAGATTCCTGGGTTTGTGGGGAATAGACTTGCTTTTGCGTTGCTAAGGGAGGCGTCTTATCTTGTTGGGGAAGGGGTAGTTTCGGCGAAGGATTTGGATTCTCTTGTTACGGCTAGTTTGGGGCCGCGGTGGGCTGGGAGTGGTGTGTTTGAGAGTTATCATGCTGGTGGTGGGGAGGGTGGGATTGGGGCGTTTTTGCAGAAGCTTGCGCCGACGATTCAGGATGTGTGGGGAGATTTGGGACATATTGATATTCAGGGTGAGCAGGGTTGGAAGGATTTGGTCGTTAAGCAAACCGAAGATGCCTATGGGCCTTACACTCCTGAGACTAGGAAGAAGAAAGAGGAGATGTTGAGGGATGTTGTAGAAATGCAGAAGAAGAAATGGGGAGAGTTGTGATCAACTTTGCTAGGTAGCGAATAGATGATTTACGGATAGGTTACTGGGAGAAGTGAACAATAGTAGAGTGCTCTATTCGCATCCTTGTATATCTAGAGGGCCATAGCTCCTCTATTAAAAAACCAAAACATTTTGTTACGTCATATTCGTTCCGCCCTTTACAGGATCTGCTGGAAAGCACGGTTAATGGGGGAGCGCACGGGGACGCCCTTGTAGAAGTCGATGGTGGCAAGAGCACGCTTGCTGATGCCCTCGGGGGTGAACTCGAATTTCTGCGGATAATTAGTAAATGGTCATGGGAGAATGAGTGGAAATAACTTACGGCGTACACCTCCTTATAGGGACCGGAAGCACCGAAGCGGTTGAGACCGAACTGCTCGTGAGAGTAGCGCTCCCAACCCATGGTGGAGCAGGCCTCGACGGACAGCACAGGGATGCCATCGGGAATAACCTGGAGACGGTACTCCTTGGTCTGGGCATCGAAGACCTCGAAGCAAGGAATGGACACAACACGGGCAGCAACACCGTGCTTCTCCTGGAGGTATGTGGCGGCCTCAATGGCGATGCTGACCTCGGAACCGGTGGAAACGATGGTGACGGCAGCGTTGGGGGTGTCGACAGCGACGTAACCACCCTTCAGGGCGTTCTCGAGGGTGGAGAGCTCAAGCTGGGGCAGGTTCTGGCGGGTCAGAGCCATGACGGTAGGAGTGTGCTTGGAGGTGATGGCGGAGTAGTAGGCAGCGCTGGTCTCGTTGCCGTCAGCGGGACGCCAGACCATGCAGTTGGGCATGGCACGGAAGTGAGCCAGAGTCTCAATAGGCTGGTGAGTGGGGCCGTCCTCACCCAGACCGATGGAGTCGTGGGTAGCGACGTGGATGACACGAACGCGAGACAGAGCCGACAGACGGAGGGCACCGGCGGCGTATGAGACGAAGTTGAGGAAAGTACCACCGGCGGGGATGATGGTGCCGTAGGCAGCCAGACCGTTCATGACGGCAGCCATGGCGTGCTCACGCACACCGTAGCGAATGTAGCGACCAGCCCACTCGCCAATACCAAGGTCAGGGGGCTGGAAGTCAACGGCGTTCTTCCAGCGGGTGTTGTTGGAGCCAGTCAGATCAGCGGAACCAGAGACCAGCTCGGGAAGGACATCGTGAATAGCCTCGAGACAGGCCTCGGAAAGCTTACGGGAAGCGACAGCAGCGTCAGTAGGCTTGTAGACGGGGAGCTTCTTCTCCCAGCCCTCGGGCAGCTTGCCGGAGAGACGGCGAGCGAGGTCAGCACCCTCGGTCTTGTACTCGGCTTGGTACTTCTCGAAGAGCTGGTTCCACTCCTGCTCCTTGGCAGCACCCTGAGCGGCGTGCTTGTGGTACAGGTCGTAAACCTGCTGGGGGACAGCGAAGCTCTCCTCGGGGTTGAAGCCGAAAAGCTTCTTAACGCTCTGGGCATCGTCGGCCTTGAGGGGGTTTCCGTGAACACCGCCGGTACCGGCAAGCTTGGAGCCGAAACCAATGGTGGTGGTCAACTTGATCATGGAGGGCTTGTCAGTAACCTGCTGACACTTGCGGATGGCAGCCTCGATACCCGCGAGGTCGTTGTCACCATCCTTGACCCACTCGGTGTGCCAGCCGTAGGACTCGAAACGCTTAGTGACGTCCTCAGTGAAGGCACACTTGGTGTCACCATCTGTGGAGATAAGCTGTCAGCTTTTTATATCTAGCTTGGGGTACTTGAGCCAATCTTACCAATGGAGATGTGGTTATCATCGTAGATGGCAATCAGGTTGCCAAGCTTAAGGTGACCGGCCATGGAGGCAGCCTCGCTGGCAATACCCTCCATAGCGCAACCATCACCGAAGAACATGTAGGTGTAGTTGTTGAAAAGCTCGAAGCCGGGCTTGTTGTAGACACCACCGGAGTGAGCCTGAGCCATGGCAAGACCAACGGCGTTGGCGAAACCCTGGCCAAGAGGACCAGTGGTGACCTCAACACCGGGGGTGTCGTGAGCCTCGGGGTGACCGGGGGTGATGCTGTCGAGTTGCTACTCAAGATTAGAAAAAGGTTGCGGTATATATTTCTCTGAGGGACTTACACGGAAGTTCTTCAGGTCATCAATGGTGATCTTGTATCCGAACAGGTGGAGCAGAGCATACTGCAACATGCAGCCGTGGCCGTTACTACCCAATTTGAGATTAGTCGATATTCCAAAAACATGGTCATTGTCGTTTCTGGGTGGAAAGAACCAGCCTAACTTCAAATGACGGGGGAAAGCACATACGAGAGAACGAAACGATCACGGTTGGCCCAGTCAGGGTTCTGGGGGTTGAAGTTCATCATGTTCCACAGAACGTGGGCAACGGGAGCCATGCCCATAGGGGCACCGGGGTGGCCGGAGTTAGCCTTGGAGGTGGCATCAACCTAATAGCGAAATGTCAGTCAGATTTTCCAAACTATATGCATTGAAGCTTCATATGAGGCTAGAATCTCCAATCTTGCACCCATTGAAGGCATGAAATGGAGTGGCGATTGCCCGGAGTTCAACGTACCGCGAGAACACGGATGGTGTTAACAGCCAACTGGTCCAGATCAGTGTAACCCATGATGGCGGATTCTAATACCGTTAGAAATGAAAGTCATAGGAAGATAGGTTAAGGTACATACATTTTTGAGTGAATGGAATGATTTGGGAGAGATGGATGAGAGAAGAAGAGAAGAGGGAGGGGAATGTATTTGTTGGTGGGGGTATGATGTCGGGTGGGGAACTATTGGTGGCTTGGGAAGCTCAACGACTTAGCTTACAGTGTTCAGGTCACATTTAACTGAGAAAAATTATTATAGAAGTCTATTTCCGGGAGTATCTACTCCGTGGACTATCTTACAACATACAGGCTGAATCAATCGAATTGTTCTCTCTCTACGGAGTAAAAAACGTGTGTATAATCTCTTATCCATTGCCTCCATTATTGCATCATGAGCTGAGTCATCAATTCACCCGAGGCCAGGGGCCACAGGGCTACAACTATATATATGAAAAGCCACATTATATGCCACTTGAATGTTTCTACTTGTCCTATCTCTATTACTCCTGTACCTGTATTTCTTGAATTGAAATCCATCAATAGCCGTTTCTCCCGCTTGTGATCTCAATGGCCCGCATTTTCCGACACTCTTCCGGATTGACATCCACACGTTCTTTTAGTATACACCGGGAGCCACCCGGAGGACCCTGCTCCGACTCACAACCGGCCTTTCCACGGAGTGAAATTAGCCGAATCTCCTTCTATGTCTCCTCAATACCCGTGCCGATGATCAGCTGTTCAGCAGAAAAAAAAATCTGCTTTAATGGAATTGGTACTTTGAAGACTCCTTGATAGCTCCTTGACAACTCAGCGCCTGCAGACGTGGCCGTGCATCGGATGACCTAATTAAGCCAATCCGAGTAAAGATCGAAACACCAATGAGAATGCGAACCTGGAATATAAGTGGGATGGCAATTCCAAAGAATTTCTAATGCGACCCCCACAGGGGAAATTGTATGTCGTCGCTGAAACGTGTTGGGGAATTCACCGTGAACATCCCGGTGTGCCAGAAGGAGAGTAGCGCGGGACAAACTATAGAGTCACGTGCAAAGCATATTTGAACTATACATCTATGTGATACAAAGTACCTCTATAGGCATCTTGGTTTCTGTTGAAATGCATGATATTTGTATAGCATGGACAACGAGCTACGATTGCCTGCTATTTGCCTGTCTTCGTCCAATCCCGTATCCGAATCCACATACACCTACAACCTAGATCCTTGTTGTGCTTCCCCATAAAGTCATTGTCACCCAGGATTACAAGATGAGAATCTCCCAGTCCAATATCAAATTCTGAAAGCGAGGCTGGCATCGAATCATTCATATTGCTGCCTTCATCCATACCATGAATAATAAGCATTCAAAGAGGTCACGGCCTTCCGATGCAATCGCCACCCCCGGAACCTCAACTCCGACGACTGTGTGAGAGGAAACTTCGGGCAAAATCCTCCGCCTCGAATTCAGTCCTCCAAGCCCACGTTGAGCAACATGGTAGTCAGGTCAGCCTGCGCTACATGCATACATTAAAAATGGGTCAACTCAGCTGAGAGAACTCCATGTCACAACATAAAGAAAACCAGCACACCTGACTGATACGACCTGGATATCAAAGCATATTGATATGCACTCGTGCTAAATATCATCGTATGTCGAGCTTATGAGGGGAACTACTGTACAAATGAGCACGGAAGACCCTTGGATGAGGAATGATTTTGGGTTCCTACAACCACCGGATTGTCTGTGACTTGAGTCAGCTTACATGGGGCCAGGCCCCTCATTTTAGGAACCTGTAGTGCAGCATTGCCATATTCATATATATAAAGTATACCTGTATTGAGGGGGCCATCGCCCAAATTTCTGTCCACGGGTCATCGTTCCGCATATTCTCGAAGATATATATATCCCGCTACGCGATATGGACACAGAAGGAAAATCAACGCACTCCCAAACCGATGTGTAAGTCCCCATTATATCTTTATATTTACGCAACATAGTCTAATATTCTCTTAAAGACTCATCATCGGTGCTGGGCCATCTGGCTTGATGGCAGCCTACTGGATGGCTCGCTGTGGAGTCAACGCACGCATCATCGACAATCGTGATACGAAAGTATTCCTAGGCCACGCAGACGGGCTTCGTGCACGCACGCTTGAGTTGTTCGATGGCATGGGATTTCAACACCGTGTTCTGCAGGAAGGATCTATCTCCACGGAAGCGAACATTTGGGTGTGTATCACCTTGTTTTCCCGCCGAGGTTAGGGCTTGCCTGACGACATCATGAGTGAATAGGTCCCCGGTCCGCAAGGAAAGCTTGTCCGACAGGCTCAAATTGACATCTTTAAGGTTGACGAGTCCCCCTTCCACAATACACGCTTGAACCAAGGACGCATTGAGCGGTTCATTCTCGATAGTATTCGGGAGCACTCTGACCTCGACGTGGAACGGAGCGTGATCGCCGACTCTTTGGAATACGATGAGGAACTGGGTAATGACCCCAACTCGTATCCCATCACCGTTAAGGTCCGAGTTCTTGGTGAAGATGATTTGAATCGACCACGTGGACAGGAAATAGACGCCGAGTCTGAAGCGATTGGCAACGAGGTCAACCGCAGTAACTTACTTCCTGATGATTGGGCCGATCTAGCCCCGCGCAAGAAACCACAGAAGACGCAGATCGAGACGATCAAAGCCAAGTATCTGATCGGGTGTGATGGTGCCCATAGCTGGACGAGGAAACAGCTAAACATCCCCGTGGAAGGGTCTAACACGGACCACATATGGTGAGTGGTACTTATTATCCGCCTGTGCTACAGCAGCTGATACAACCAATTGTACAGGGGCGTGATAGATGTGATACCCCTCAGCGACTTCCGTAAGAACAACCCACTGTGTGCTCATCTCTTCAAATGACATCCACTAAATGAAATACCAGCGGATATCCGCCGCGTAAGCGTTGTGAACAACGCCGCAGGCACTATCCTTGTGATCCCACGCGAGCGCGGGTTAGTTCGCTTCTACGTCCCTGTACAAACCTGCGAAGCGGGTACAACCGACCGATTCGACCGCTCAAAGATCACGCCGGAGCTAATCCGAGAGCGTGTCCAAGCTATCTTCGCCCCATTCACCTTCGAATTCAAGGAATGTAGCTGGTGGACGGTGTACCAGGTCGGACAGCGGATCGCCACCCAATCTACAAAGGACAACCGGATCTTCCTTGCTGGTGATGCAGTGCACACGCACTCACCTAAAATGGGACTTGGGATGAATATGAGTATGCAGGATGGGTTCAATGTTGGGTGGAAGATTGCTCTTGCCGTGGCGGGGACTCTCAAGCCTGAGATCCTTGATACCTATGCTTCAGAGAGACACCCGCTTGCGGAGATGTTGCTTGATTTTGATCGCCATTGGTCGCCTATGTTTACTGATCGGAAACCTGGAGTGGCGGATACGAAAGCTTCGGATATGGCCCTTGTTGCGGGCAAGTTCGAGGACTTCGCTGATGGATGGAAGGTCTTTTATCCCGCGAGCAGTCTTGTTCGGAAAGCTGAAGACAATGCCGAATTTTCTTTTGCACGGCACATGATTCCTGGAGAGAGAGTCCGACCGGTGAAGCTTCGTAACCACGCTGATGGTGGTACACGATGGACAACAAGAGCGTTGGAAAGCGATGGGCGCTTTCGCATTCTAGTTTTGGCCGGGGATATACGGAACCCCTTGCAGAAACAACGCATTGAAGTCTTGAGCCAGGCTTTGGCTGGGCAAGCTGGATCAGGTATTTCACCACTAGGTCGCTACTTGGATATCCCCGGCCGATTCAAGAGTCCTGTTGATGTCCTTACCATCCATACTTCACCGTGGAATGAGGTAGAGTTCTTTGATTTCCCAGAGATTCTACATCCATTCGATCCGGTGAATGGATGGGCATATGACAAGATTTGGTGTGATGACGCCTGTATGTTTGACCGATATTGTGATGGAACGGCATATGAGAAGTGGGGGGTTGACCGGGTCCTTGGGGCGCTGGTGGTCGTTCGCCCGGATCAATATATTGGATGGGTGGGTGAACTTGGGGATGTGGAGGAATTGACGCAGTACTTGGATGGAATTCTTGTGAAGAAGTCGCCGACAGACGAGGTTGCCGAAGTCATCTAGAGAGTATCATACAGGACAACAGGAATACCGAAGGACAAATTCAAACATAAATTGGTGCAGGCTACACGCTTCGAGGTAGCTGGCTGACTGAATACATAACAATGTTCTGACAAAAGAAAAGAAAATAAGCAAGACTATTGTTGGTACATGGACAATTGCACTATCTTTCGCAAGCTCACAACCACCTCCATGCTTACGCGCGTGTCTCAGCCCCCCAAGACCCATCTTCCCGTAGCTCGGTAGTAGGATCAGCAACATGAGACGAGCGAGGAGCGTCCTTATCAAACGAGCCCCGGATAACGCTTGGTTCAGCAGGGAACTGGAACTTCGAACTTTTCCACGGCTTCACCTTCATCCGGTACATAGTATCGATCTCCTCCAGAGTACGGCCCTGTCCCTCCATAACAGCGAAGCAAACCAGACCCGCAGCAAGGAAAAGGCACCCGGCAAAGACATACCCAAAGCGGAAGTCAATGGCGCCGGTAATGAAGGGAGTGAAGAAGGCAAGGAGGAAGTTCCAGAGCCAGTTGGATGCAGTCGCCAGAGACATGGCTTGGGCACGGTATTGCGAAGGGTATAGCTCGGCGATGATCGTCCACACCATGGGACCCCAGGTACTGGCAAAGCCAAGAATGAAAAGGCAGGCAAAAACAACCATAACCACGCCGGCAGTTTTTGTTCTCTCAGGGAACTCGTGATCGAGGGAGAAATGGCCCACTGATGCAAAGATCATGAAGCAGACGAACATCCATAGCGCGCCGGTTATGAGAGAACGGCGTCGGCCCCAGTGCTCAATTAGATAGAGACCAAGGAATGTTGTTCCAAAGTTGACTCCGCCTAGAATCATCTGCGTGACATAACTGTTCTGGATTCCAGCGCCCTTGAAGATCGTTGTTCCCTGGTATGTGTCAGTCAGGGCACTTTTCTTTTTGTTAAACCAAGATCTCAAAAACTCACATAATAGAAGAAGTAATTAGCACCTGTCAGTTGCTGGAGAGCTTGCAGGGCGACGCCAACAGCGATCCGGTACGCCATTGTCGGAGCACGGAACATCTGCATCCAAGTCACCTTCCCGTTGCGTTGCTCTTCCTCGTGTTTCTGTCTGATTTCATCGAACTCGATGTGGAGAGCGCGGTGGTTACGAGGGATACCATAAACCTTGGAAAGTGTGTTCATAGCTTTCTCCACGTTTCCGTGGCGGTAGTCGTAGCGTGGACTTTCAGGGAAGAACATCATGCCAACACCAAGGATGGCGGCCCAAATATACGTGATACCCATAGGGATACGCCATGAACCGGTGTCGGGGCGAGCTTCCGTTCCAAAATTTATACAGTTGGCAACGAAGATTCCAAGTGTAATGAATAGCTGATATGTACTGGGATGAGTTAGAAGACAATAGTCTAGTTTTGGGATGACCCTGGGGCTCGTTATCCAACATACCTAATCAGCGATCCTCGAATGTGTCTCGGCCCTGATTCTGCTTGATACATAGGTACCAGGAGAGAGACGGCACCAACACCGAGTCCGGCGACCCAACGACCCATGGCGACCTGGTACCACTTGCCAAATGGTGATGATATCTGAATGGTGATTCCAATACACACCATCAGAGACCACCAACTGATACACCACTTTCGTCCGAAGCGGTCAGCGATCGGCGCTGCAATTAAAGCGCCTATCAGAGTGCCAATTGACAACTGTAGCAGAGTGTTAGCATATGTAGATATGAGAGCAAAAAATGAGAAAGAGGGTACCGCTTACCAAGGCAACAATGAGACCCGAGCGGACATTACTGAAATGGTAAGTCCCATCTGATTGAAGTTCACCATATCGCTCAAGGAAGTTTTCCATCTCCAAGAAGCCGGAGATTTGACCAGTGTCATAACCGAAGAGAAAACCGCCCATAGAGACGAGAATACCCATAATGAATGAGCGCCAAGTGAGAAGCGGAATAGCTGTGTCGACCTCATTACCGGGGCCTTTCTCATGTTCATTCGTGGAAATCGACCCCCAGGGGCCTGAGGGTCTGCATAGAGGTCCTGCGGACGCTTTTTGAAGATCTTATCGAACATAGTGCCAACGAGTACTATTTAGCTGTAATATTTTCGCTACTGGGCAACTAATTTTTTTTTCCGTAACTCCATGCGATACTGGATCAACCCTTCTTATACAGGGACTGACCAAGAAAACCAAGGTTGGGCAATATACCGCAGTGACGAAAGCCGAGTGTCTGGGGACTCATACCAATTCAGGCAGGACGCATCAGACCGATGACACGTTGATCCAAGAACTCGGGCATAGGCCCTTCAAGCTTGCGCTTATATCCGCCAGAAAAAGAGATAATCCGGGGAATTTGACATGGATTTGGCAGGTTGGCCGGTTCAGCTGCGGCGTTTCCGGGTGGTTCATCATTGCTGTTGGTCAATATAGCAACGTGAGATTCCATGTCCGAGATTTCTGAGTGGCGCGGAAGTCTCGGCCCTCTGGGCCTCGTGATTCATTTTTTTCTGGGAGCGAATAATATTTCTGGGGCAATTAACCACGCGATGACCTGGGGTCTGGAGAAGTAGTGATGCAATCGGTGCCAGCCACAAAGCTTGGCATTCACCGGGTGCACTCTTATGGCAATGTTCACTTGTTGGATTTGAATCAAACCACTAGTAATCTCGGGAGCTAAACATATCAAACATTCTAGAAATTCATCAGAGAGGTTTTCGGTGACTGCACTGTTTTAAGTGTCGCCCATAGGTGAGTAAGTATACATCCTCTTTTTTTCAAGTTATTACAGTAATTGTATATTATTCTCTTAAGCCTAGGAAGGAACTAATGAATAAGCTGCTTGACTCGATTATAGACTTCGTTTAATTACAAGCCTAAATGCTGTACGTGCTGAGTTGGATAGGTCGCAGAATCTTCTTACTAGAAACGGTCTATCTAACCAAACGTATTCCGGTTCAGAGAATCTACAAGGCAAATGGAGAGAAACGCACGGGGTCAATGTTTCCGCGCTTTGGACACGCGCTGTAGGTGCAATCTAGGATGGGGATCTCTCAATTCGTGTACTTGATTAAAATAAATCTGCGGTTCATGAACCTGGGGTGGCTTCCAAAGATGATTAAACGATCGTTAAGCAAGGGATTTTTCATACTTCTCCTTTCTCCTTTCCCATCGATTCCTAGTTTCCCCCAAATTAAGATTGCCCTCACTGGCCACTTCTACTGGGGTAACTTTCTGCTTAGGTAGTACAACGAAGAGGAATAGCCTCAACGGATTCCCCATTTTGTTCAACTCCGCGACGTGAGGTACTAACTGACATCACTGTCTCGTCCATTGCCTCATCTTTAGCTTCAGACCGACCTTCCAGGCCTGCATGGTCTAAGGATTCCTGGGCAGCCACAGCAGTTCTGCAGCGATGTTGCATCGCATACACAGCAATGGGGACACCAATAACCCACCACGAGAACATGATAGGAAGCGCACGATAGAGTCGGTTATTGCACCCACCAGACCAGATTTGAATCAAGACCTCGTATGCCACATGGGAAGGAAGAGCATAGCCCCAGCGAAAGAAACCTGGATTTAACTCAAACGGGCTGATAGTACTGGCGACATTGAGGATGACCCAAGTCAGAACAATAAACGGCATAAACTGAATCGGGATGAAAGCAGTCGTGATATCGAGAAGCAGGAAGTTTATGTGCATCAGAAGCCACATAGTGATCCAAGTCAACACGAACTGACTTCCTCGCTGTCCCCACGACTCTCTGAAGGCCCAGATATAGCCGGCCATTAACAATGATCCTGTAAGGGTGTAGAGGATGGAGGCTATGGTGCGAATCAGGCCGTTGACTTTCCAGGATAATTTGGTGAACGTGTCGAAATGGGTTGATACTCCGTTCAGTGCTAGCGTGAAAAAGAACTGTTGGAGGATTGGCATCACCATGGAGACTGTGTTGTAGAAGACCCTTGTACCTTGTTCTGTGCCCTTGATGTTGATTTCTTCGGCGTGGATGGGGTCGAGGAATGCTTTAAGGGCGGCTGTATTGGAGAAGTCGACGGATGCGGTGTCTGAAGATCCATTATTGGCGTAGTACGTTGACCGTGTTCTTTCGATCAGTTTCAGAATGTTGGAGTAGACTGCAGCTTGCGAGAACACTGGGTACCTGACCCCGTTCCAGATGTAGGTGAGCGAGATCGGTGGGCTGGACCCGGTTGCCAGAGCCGATGCCAGACCAGCTGATCCATGCTCAGTTGTGTAGACAGCCCCCCAGTAGTCACCGCGGCATACGGCTTCTCGAATGTCCTCTGGTTGGGGATATTCGACAAGGGATTCCGGTAGCAAGGTTGGGAACCCATCTCCTTGTAACTGGTGGTAAGCATCTGTCACTGACTTGCCGATGATACCGCCATCGTAGTCCACATAAAGTAAATTGAAGTTGTGGTAACGGGTGGTACTTCGGAATTGCGTTGCATAAAGATAGCACATATTCACCAAAAAAAGAACTTGAAGGAGGAGAAACATAGTAATCAAAGCTGGCAAGAATCGAGGCCGGATCTCCTTCCATGTGCCCATTTGGGGATATGAGTTTGATTCGCGTCTCATCTTTAGTGAATGTAGGGTCGAGAAGACGAGGTACATACGGTGACTGATGCTCCCCTGAAGAGTGAAATTTATAGGGAGTCTCGGAAGCCGATCCCTGTATTACTGACTGGCTGTGTACCCATGGATATTTATGTGAGCTTGGTCATCCAAGCAGGTTGTACCATTCGAAGTATGTGAGCAATGTACAAGTCCGTGGATCAGATTACATACATAGGGGTCCACCAATCATATTCACCAAGGAGTCCACAGTCCCCCGCTGACTCAGCGGCATAACATCTCAGATCGAACTACGATTAGTCGGACTTGTCACTTGATATATCGGGGAAAATTACCCCAAGGAGTAAGATGTCCCTTTAGATTAAGTACCCCTCATAAATTAAGCTAATGACGGAATCATGACCAGCATGCGATTGACCATCTGGCTAGCTGGTGGCCTGCCGATAAAACTAGCGTCCTCGACGTGAATAAAGGCCTAAAAGGTGAAAATTTGTGTACTGGTTTTGTTTTTCTAGGCTTTTCCTCAGCCAGGTTTCCATGTATGACATGCATGCAGTGTTAAATATGGTCTTTGTAACCCGGGGTGGTTTAGGGCAGCTCTTCCTCAGCACTGGAGAGATATTTACGAACAAAAGGGCGGGAAGCCAGTTGCTGGTCCCTAATCATTTTGGCCAGCTCATCGACGGTTACACAAAAAACGACCATGTCACCCATGAAGCTTTTGTGTTTCTGGGCCATATCCGGGAGCTACGTTTTGTTGTGAAGTATCGTGAAGTAACGTTCCAAGAATGGAACTGTAGAAGTTCAACCAGTTCCGGATTAATATGTTAATCACGGACGAAGTGGCTATACATTGAGCAGAGAGGAGATCAGAGAGGAGAGGGACGAAGAAGAGAAAGAGGAAGGAATCTTTATTTTCTCCAAACAAACTGAGGGTAGCTAACAAATAGCTAGTGCAAGCCTGACAACCAAGGCATGTAGGCATATACATGTAGTTTAATTCATGTAGGCGCCCCCTCCCTGTCCCCCAAGTATATCAAGAGGGAGCAAAGGCACCGATTAATAAAATTCCCATATGTAGATCTACTTCGGGTATAATTAGGCTCTAAAATATTGTTGTGATCATCATCAAATTCATATATACGCGATATACTAGGCATTGTATTGCCTGTCCAAAAGGAACTACTATATACCAGACATACCAGCCACGGCAGACAAAAAACATGCTTCCAAGCACAAGAGAAATCAAAGACAGACAAAAAAAGAAAATAGAAGACAAAAATCAAACATAGAATAAACGCGGATAAACGCCCCCATCCATAGGTATCATGAATAGAATATAAAAGCGGAAACCCATTTCAAACCCAATCCTTCCCAAAAAAAAAAAACACCCATCGCTACATAATCAATCAGACGGCCAGACGTCGGTCCCATCCATTAACCAGGGAGAACTCATCGACCTCATCTTCACCATGCATAGCAAAAGTATGGAAAGGATCGATGGTATTGATATCCTCAGGGAAAACCTTAGCATCGGGGTAGGGTGCTAGAGAATCCTCGGTACTCCCCATACTCTCACTTGAATAGCTCAGAACGCTCTGCGCGGTATGTTCTTGCTTATGTACGAAGTCGCCACTACTTGCGGACCACGCCTCGGGCGAGAGGCCGTGAATATCACTCTGCGGGTGATTGGCTAGGGAGGAGTCATTGGGTTTGCGGTTGTATTCTGCTGCAATGGAGGCGAATGGGCCCGGGTCTTCGCCGCACTCTTTGCCGCCATAGATGCCTGTGAAGATGTTGGAGTACCCCCGGTCCATGTCGCTCAAGACATATTCCCAATCGGCCATTGTGATGGCGCCAGCTGTGGGGTCAGAGGGTGTAGAGCAGGACATGGAGCGTGGGTGGTCGTAGCCGACGGACGCGGCTAAGCGGGGGTCTGAGGCTAGATCCAAGGGGGAGTGGCCTTTATCATTGAGGTAGAGTGCGGCGGGGAGCTGGTCAGGTTGGGTGAGAGGCAGGCTGCTCCAGCTTGGGGAGCGGAGCGACTGGGGAATAAGTGGGGGTGTGGCTCCCGAGATAGTGTTTCGGCGAGAGGACTGTGGGGAGGGATGTGTTGGAGGCTGCTTATCACGGGTGGAGCAGGCGATAAGGCGTGACTTTAAGGCCTGCAAGTGCTTCTTGGGGGATTTGCTCGGCTTTTCTGTTGGCGCGACCATCTCCTGGTGTTGCTGCTTGCCCACTGATGGAGGTCTTGCGCTGTCCAGGGAGATCAGAGTGTTGGACAGCGTGCCGAATTCAGCAGCAGCCGCGTTCGACTCTGATTGGAGGTATTGCATGGCGGTTCCAATCAGCTTCTGGCTATCCTTGGCCAATCTGCTATCGTTTTTGACATCAAGCACTTGCCAAAGGAGCCCAAGGCCGGAAAAGAATATAAGCTCTTTCCGGTTGATACAAACAGACAGACACAGACGCCTTTCATCAAGAAGTTCAAGAATTTGAATGATATGCTTTGCTGAATCGGATAGTGCTAGGACAGACGCAGAGCGAATGTTCTCGTCGGCGTAGCAGACAGCCGGGCGATGTATCAAAGATCGAATGAAATAGTACACAAGTGACTATAGCAGAGTCAGTATTTGTTTGTAAAACATTAACGAATCTATGCTGTGACTTACCAGGAGCGGCGATCGGCTACTCGTTACGTTCGTGCTAGGCTTATCCTGGCTGAACTCGAGGCGAAGATGTGGCGGCAGTGTGTGAAGCCACTGGTCTAGTTGCCCCGTCACCGAGCGCATTTTTGAAACACACACATCGTAACCAGATTTGGAAGGGAACAGATCGTCCAAAGCCTTGTTCAAGATCCTTGCAGCTCCGAAGAGAGCGATGGCACTGGAAATGCGAGTGGATTCGCCCGGAAGGGTCGGCAAAAACCCTGTTTCCGTGACATTCTCATCGTCCACATCAAGTGGATAGTCAGTCTCGATATCCTCTTCGCGCAAAAGGACAGGCAGTCCAGTAAGCGCGGAGCAGAATCGGTCAAGAACATATTGCGACCAGAAAACCTTCTTACGAGTCTCATCCTCGAGCGGGTTGCCTGAGCTTTCTTGAGTTTCGTGCATGCCTAGCTGATGGCATATGTCAACACCAAGGGCACGGTAGCGAAGCAATGTACGGTAGTCGCCTTTGGTCATGCAGTAGATTTGACCAAGAACGAAGCATTGCAGGCTGGAAACCGACGTTTCAGTCGAAAACGACTCAAGGGTGGCTGACCAGTTCTCTTCGAAGAACGTCGGGTCTTGGTTGGTTCGTGACATTGATGAAAGAGCAGCAATACCAAAAATCAAATTCAACTGCGCCATCACATGCGGATTGCGCTGGAGATTTTCGGCATTGTTGAGATACTGCTCATAAGCCTTCAGAATGGTCGGACGATGTACCACAGGGTATAGTGGCGCCCATTCTTGGAAGAAGATGTTGATCAGCTGGTCCGACACCAAGCGCGGTGGCGTTTTCACAGGCTGCTTAGGGACACCCTGGACTACCGAGGTAGACAAGGCAGTGAGCGCCTCTGTGGGGACCTTTGTTGCTGATTTACCCTCACTGACAAGCTTGTTGGTGAATACATCTGCAAATATAAGTAAATTGTTGCCATTTGGGAAGGGAAAGGTATAACATACCAGCGAAGCCCTGGGTGCTGGAAAATCCAATAAAAGGGTTATGCGACCTCTGAGATGGTCGGGTCCTCGATCGCTCTACATGAAACACGCCATCCGATGGAGCCGAAGTGGTCGACCTCACTGTCGCAGAAGCAGAGGGAGACCTCGCGGAGGCTGCTCGGTGCGGCGGCGTAAATGAATGTATCCGGGACAAGACATCGATCTTCTCATCCTTCTCGTCTAACAGGTCTTTCAAGTCCTTAACTTCTGTTTCTAGACTCCTGACTCGTTCTTCTAGTGACTCGGTATATCCACGTGGGAAGGCGCGGCGGCTCAGTTTGTCGCTGGTGCGGCACTCGAAGCCCACGTTGGCGCATTGCGAGCAGCAAGGTCGAACACCATCACAGCGGATTTTCTTACTTCGGCATCGGTCACAGGCTTGGGCAATCCGGCTCGTTGTGCCATTTCCACCGACCTTGATCACTTTCATAGGCAAGATACCAGGCATTTTGTGCAGAAGGGGCACACGGGCCGCCGGGGGTTGAGTTGGTTGTATTTGAAAGGCGCCAGAAGTGTAAGCACGGCACTCGGTATAGAATTCTTGGATACTGAGACAATGCAACTAGAGAATCTCCAGTTTGAATAAGACAGGTATGTATGCAGAAAAGAAGCCTAAGAACCTGGGGGGGCGTCCTCGGGAAGATGGGGTCACGCCAATGCTGAGTCAGTTGAAAGTGGAGACTGCTGACCTTCCTCTAGCGCCAATAAACTCGTCGTTGTATCGGTGGTAATTTGTATTCATTGCGTACCTGCTCTGTTCACTTGATCCTTGATTCGTTGTGGGACCCGTTATTTTAACTATTTTGAGAGGCGATACATTTTACCCCGTAAAACCGCTCAAACCCGCCCCGGATTCTTCCTGCAGACCTCGACATTTCTTATGTTCGACGGTTGGATCCCGATCTTCCCGGTCCCCGCACTCCGCATTCCACAACCCTTTAGCTGACGTGGAAATATCTACAGAGTAAGATGGGAATGTAGGCTTTAATGACAAAACAACGCCCCTTTCGGAGTATATATGCTCTGTATTGAGTACTGAGATAGGATTTTGCTACGTGCTAAAATGCAGGGCGCTCGGATTCAACCTGGTTGCGGTAACTGGGCATTCTAGTCCGCCTCCGACTTTCTCCTCTCGGCGCGTGCAGCGGCGTGTCTACCTACACAGGTTGGCCTACGGGGCTTACTATTAAATTCTGGTCCAATGATCGGCCACTGCCCATGGTTAATGTGTCTCACTTTCCACTAGAAAGAAATCGAAGT